CAGGGGGCAGAACAAGGCAGCTTTGCATGCAAATAACCTCTCCAGCAACATCAAAAGGCTGTTCTTTCCCTTGCTCTTGTCTGCTCATCTCTTCTGTTCTGGAAAAAGTGATGGAAAACTACTGAGTACCAATTGTCCACTGTTAAAAATAATGGTGGAAGTATCCTGCTAACAGGTGATGGAAACTTTTGCCTTTTGATGTCTGCTAGCCATGGTTTCTGTGGAAAGTTTCTGAACAGCTTTGTAATATTCTGCTCTGGCTTTGTATCATTTTAGAGCTCCAAGGAGCTGTTTGGTGCTTCAAAGAGAGGCTGAACCCTTCTTCTGGCAAAGATTTTATAAGGTAGGGGTTAAGGGAATTGCTTGGTGTTGGATGATTGCAGCACTACATGAAAGGATGCCCAAAGCTTGCAAGATTGAACTTTGATGTGCAGACAGCTTTTAATTCAGCCTATCTCGAGGTAACCGTGTGTGCAGTGGCTGTCATTTGGTGCCACCAGAGCTCAGACAGCACCAGCAGAGACAGTTCCCAAGCCTGCACACCTGTGGTGGGTCCCAGCCCTTGAAGTCCTGCCCTCCCCATGCCAGTGCAGGCACCTGTGGGTGTGGCTGAGCTGCTGAGTGATCCGGGTCATGGGGCCATAAAACACATCCCAGCTCCTTTCTCCCTGCCTTGGTAAATACTTTATCCAGGTCACTGTGGCCCCACAAAGCCACATGTCGGCAGAGCTGGGGTGGTGGGCTGGTGATGGGTGAAGTGACACGTAATCAGCAGATCGTTTGTTTGCAGACTTCTTATCTGGGGGCGTTTGCATCAGAACTCTAAATCCAGCAAAGCTACATGTGAAAGGCTCTCCTGACTTGCAGGTCACAGAAAGGGTAATTTTGTTAAGCTGTAGAAAGAATAAAATAATAATGAATTGTTCTCTGTATCGGTTAAGCAACTTTCATCTGCAGATGTAAACATATTTAGGAGCATTAGGAAGAAGAAAGATGGGGGCCTGTACCTTTGATGCTGCTCCCTTAGGGTTGGCTGTTCAAAATTCAGAGCCTTGGACCCCGACACTCAAAGCAAGAATTGCTTCTGGCTCCAGTGAGACCATGTGAGCTCTCAGCACTTCACAGGGCTGGTGTGAGAGCTGAGGTGTCCATGGCAGCTAAAATTAGTTTAAAAAAGAAAAAGAAAAAAAGAAGGGAAAAAAAATAAAAGGAGAAATCTTGATGGGAGAAAGGATAAAACCCAAACAACCCAAACCTACCCAATATCAGTGGCTGATGCAGGAAGAAAGTCCTGCCCTCCTCTCTGCCATTCCCTGTAGCAGAATCATGTTGAAATCAGTAAACATTGGGCAACTTTGAACAATCAAAGAGTCCTGCACAGCAGGATGTCACCCACAGAGCTGCAGCACAGCCTCAGACACATTGGAAAGATCAACAGAGCTGCCTGGTCACGGTGTAAAGTTCATTCCCAATTTGATGTGAAGAATCACTGCACTTCTGCTCCTCTTAAGCTAGGAAGCTGTTCCCATGAGGAAACCTTGGGATGTGAAAGGGAACACCAGTGACAGTGTTTGGGCTGGAGCTGATGGGCACAGGAGTCCAACTCCCATAGATCCATGCCAGTTGTTTCTCCCCAATTCCTCAGCTCCCAGAAGATCTTTGTCCTTTGGTTCCCATCTCTTTTCTGCAGTCAACAACCATGGCTGCTCCTTGGGTGCTTTCAACACAAAACTAAGAATGGTCTCAAATGGAAATTTGGGAAAATAATAGCAAGGAGAATCTCCTGGATTAAAAAAAGACCCCTGTGGAGTTGACAAAGCTGCAGTAATGAGAGGAAATTAGCTCTTCAGTTTAGCTTTAGTTTTTTGCTATTAAAAATGATTATATGATTTTTCCTCCCCTGACCCCTTATACTAAAACAAGTTTTAAAATGAAAAATGTGTTGTGCAAGGAAGTTCCTCTCAAAAATCATTAACTTTTTGATAGGAAAATATGCCTGTTTTGGTGTTGGCTACAAAACCTCGTATTTTTCTCCTTTGGTTTTTACAAAAGCTTGACATTTTTATCAAATTAGCTTTTTTTTTGTGCAAGGTAAAATTGAAACCTCTCCCCAAATAACAGTTATCACAATGATGATGACACCACAAGATAAATTCTGCCCATTTCATGAATGAGCCCAATTTTTATTTCTCTTCATCACAAAAGTCATCCCACATTTGTTGTACACATTGTTGGTTGCTGTGTTACGGGACATATCACCAGGTATCAGATGCTTTACTCTTGCAGAAGCACTTCTAATGGAGATGGAAGCTTCTGTTGGCTGAATTTTAGAACAACAGCAAAAAATAATAATACAAAACAAAAATATCATCTTCAGCTGCATAGCAAATATGGATCAAAAATTTAACACTGTATCAGATCACAAGCGTAAATATACCTCACCATAAATAAAATTCATTGTACAAAATAACTCAAGCAGCTTTTCATACAAATATGGTACATTTGACAACAGTTTTTGAGAATATTTTCTTGGTTTTTTACACCTTCGATTCTTTTCTCTTTTGTTCTCCAATACACATGAACCTACTGGACTGGAGTAATGCAGGAGGAAAAGGACCAATGCTGTTCAATGCTACTAAGTGCTGTCAGAGTTTAAAAGGAAAACCACTGAAGTGCTGAGTTTGATCTAGTTTGCTTCCCCTTTCTATTGTAGCATTGCAAGTCAAGTGTAGCATCATCCCAGAAAAGCATGTGCACTGCCAACAGTCACATTTTATAATGGCAAGGCCAGAGGGACCATTAAAATAACCCAGTCTGACTTCATTCCTGACACAGGCCATCCTTTCTCCCCCCTGTAATTCCTGCATGGAGCCAACAGCTTTTCTGTGGAGGAGACATTCCAAGGGGTGGCTGGTGAGTGCTGGGGAGTTTGCAGACTACTTCAGCATAAGCAGGAAAATACAGGTAAAAAAGCAAGTCCATTGTCAGTGGACTTGGGAGGATTCAGATGGGGGTCAACATTTCCCTAAGAAAACACCATTAGAAATCTCCAGATTATAAAAGACTGAAAAATATAGGACTGAAGCACATCTGCAAGGCAGACTCCTAAACTTGGCAGAAAGTCTGCAAGTGTGGGGAATATTCCTGACTTCCTGGCAATCTGTTACTATTTAGCCCTACTCTTACAAATTTGCTCCCTATTTCCATTAACAATTATGACATTTAAGAAAGCACGTGAGGAAAAAAAAAAATCAATTTTCATGGAATTGTTTGAAGACCTAAGCCTGGACCTCTCTCATACACAGACAAGGAGGGTGAGAAAACTGAAGCTAAGGAGTATCTTAATCCTTGAGATAATCAAAGGACAGTAACATCAAATCTCAGAAATTAAGACTGTGATTATTACTAGCTGGTACCTCATACTACTTTGAGCAACAAGGCAAAACACCTGCATACACTCTACAGTCAAAACACTTCACATTTTGTTCATGCACTTTTGACATTTTGCTCAAAACATTTAATCCCTTGGAATCTGGAGGGATTTTACATTTTTGCTAGCAAATCTGAGGGCAACAAATAGATTTCAACTACTTGTTCTTTCAAGTACAGCTTGGACAAGTACAACAACTTTTCAGTGCAACTGTGTTTTGTGGGGTTTCAGGGAATTATGGCAAAACAACGGGAAAAGAATGCAAAGAGATTTACAGATTATTAGATGCAGTATCTCACGACTCACTCCAGACCTAAGCTGATGAAAACAGAGATTTAAATTCACCTTACTATATCTCATTTTGTCTAGGTAGCTGAGACTGGGCCATTTGGTACAGTTCATCCTTTTGTAGCAACTTCTTGTTCATGCTGGTTTCCAAGAAGACTCCAGCATTCCACAGCTTGTCAGATGTAGCAGGACACTTAATTTAATTTGTGCTGTGCCTAGAGGTGGCTCTGAAAGCCAGACAGGGACTTGTGCCAACTTTTCAGCACGACTTTCATACCAAAATAACAAGCACTTACTATTTAGGTCAGGAAAAATAGGATCTTGATCGGATGTATCTTCCTCGCACCTTGCTTTCCACAAAAAATAAAGTGCTTGATTCTTCTCTTCCTTTTAAAAATATATTTCTCTAGATACCCTCACTCCAGTAGTGTAGAAGTGTTGGAACATGATGGAATGCCAGAACTGACATCCTTAGTGAAGGAGTAAGCAGAGAGCAAGCCCCAGGTGCTCTTCTGCTGCTCTTCCTCACAACATGGAGGAAAGAACTTGCCTTGCTGGGCTGGGTCCTTCTCTGCCACTCCAAGATTTCAGCCAGACTTCCTGAGATTTCATTTTACTTTCAGGTTATTGTGCTGCACAGTTTCCTCCCTGCAGCTGAAAATGTCTGTCTCAACAATTAAAGGAAACTCAAGGTGTGAAAATGTCCAGCACTTATCACATGTAGGGTATTTATTGATTATCTGGGGTATTTATTGATTATCAAGGGAGGTGATGAGAGTCTGGGAGCACAAAAAACACACCAAGATCTCCTCTTGCCAGCAGTAGTTTGCTGGCTGTTGTTTCCTAAGACAAAAACTCCAGCTGGGGTATTTCTACTAATTCATTATATGTTCCCTCTGAGAGAGTAAGTGCCCAGGCTCTGCCTTTTTAACATCTGTAACAGCATGCAGTTTACAAGGCATGATGAAATGCGTGGAATAAATATATATTATCACATCTGGACACAGCAATTTTTGCTGTGGCCAGGCTAGAGCTGAGGAAACACTGCCAGTGGTGAGGCTGGCATCATTTCCTCCTGGAGCACATGGTTTGATCTCCTTTCACATCAAGCACAAGCTTTTGTATCACTCCAATGACACTACTGAGGGGAGGCAGGTTAGACCAGGAGTTATGAAATCCTCCTTGAAGTTCCACCTGAATTTATTCTCAATATCCAGGTATCTTAGATTAGCTGAGTGGGAAAAGGAAACAGACTCCAGTGTTCTCTCTGAACTTGGAAAACTTTGGGGATTTTTTAAAGCTTATCCTATATTTTATCTTTTCTAAACAATCACATAATTTATAAATGATGGGAAATTTCCTAAGCCTTGCTGGTAGTCACCATTCTCTGGAGAAAGGTATTTGTTTGCTGTGCCATTAGGAATTTGTCTAAACCAAGGGAAAACAGCATCCCAGAACACACAGATTGCACACCCTGGCTCTCACCCTTGGCTGAAGAACAAAGATCTTGTATGTTCAAGGTAACTACACCTGCATCCTGTCAGCACCAGTGATTATTTGCACCCAAATTAATATGTTTGAGAGCACATTCACAAGAATGCAGCCTCTTCTGTGGTCCACAGGAAATCTGGTTTAGTCCATGGGAGATGTGTCTTCAGGGGAGGACCTCTGCACTAAAATAAGTGGATGTCCCATAGCATGGAAAAAGCCAGGCTGTTTTCTCTTTCCCCAGCTCTCTGAAGTGCTGAGTTATCTGGTGACTGCATCATTGCTCTTCTCAAGCCCACATGCCAAAGCTCTCCCTACAGCTGCTGGAAAGGCCAAGGACACAGCAGAGAGCACAAAGCTCAGCCCAGTCTGGGTCAGGCATCCACCCACAACCATCCTGGCACGGCTCCTCTGCTCCCAGCACTTGATCCTCAGGGCACTGCCATGGGTAACATCCCGCCTTCATCCCTTCTTCTTCCCCTCCGAGAGTGGATCAGGGACTTGTCTTCAGCCCCTCCTGCTCCGTGGCTGGTGGCACATGTCAGGGGGTGCTGGTTTGTCCCGGTGGGAGCGGGTTCCTGGTGCCATGGGAGTGTGGAAACCTCCCACCTGAGGCTGCAGTATGGCTTCAGAGCGATGTGTGGACTGGGTGAATCACAGGGAAAAACTGGACCACTTCATGGAAGAAAAGCACATTTTGCCCACCCACCCCCACCCCCCTCAAGTCCAAAAGCTACGAGTAAAACGGATCACAGGGATGGTACAGAGGAACATGCACTCAAACAGGGCTGAGGGGAAGATGTGTCCTCCTGTGGAGAGGCAGACCCAGCCTCACTCCCTTGTCAGGCCTCACACCATCAAGTTCACCCCTCCCAGCTGGTTTGGGTTGAGTCCCTGCTCCCTTCCCAGCCCATGCAGGCTCCGTGTCCACACTAGCAGGTGGTGGCCAGTGACTGGTGGATGGGGGGCTGGAAGCAGCGCACGTGCTCCACCGTGGAACTGTCTGTTTCCACCGACTTCATGTACTTGTTCAGGATGGCAAAGATCTCGTTGTTCAGGATCTGGTACTTCCTGATCCTGTCGGCCATCTTCTTCAAGGGCTGGAGGGAGGGTGAGGGAGAGAAACAGCACATGAAGGGTCTTATGTCACCTGCCCAGCTAGGAGGTAGCAGAACCTGTGCCCTGCTGCTGCAAAGCTCTGCTAAGGCAAAGCAGCTCTAACACATGCTCCTGTTCCACTTAGCACCTCGCAGGGACTGGTGACTCGCTTCATTATTGGGTTTGATGACTCAAGACAGAGCATTAACAGGATCAGTGAGTGGTCCTAAGTTAACCATTCCAAAGTCTAGGCTCCCAACTGCTTATTGATAAAGCCACCGAAATCACAGGGTGGTTGCTGGAAATACAAGCTCCTCAAGTCCAGCTTCCCAACCACAGGAAGAAGGGAAAGGCTTTGGGAGAAAAAAGGTTTGATTTTCAAGCCAATTAAAACCTTGGCTTCTCTGCTGAGACTGCAGATGGAAACCTTACAGCAAGAGCATCCAGTAGGAATAAGATTAACACCAGGCTTTGTTGTAATTGATGAGTTTGGACAAAGCAGGATAAAAAAAAAAAGAAAGAGGTGTGCTGGCTTGGGTCCTTTGGGACCTCACCCTTCAACTTACCACGTTTTTTATGATTTCATCCTTCCCATCCTGCCTCTGCACCTTCAGCAGGTGGTAGCAGAAGTCAAAGAGGTCAAAGCGCCGCTGCTGCCCGAGGAGAACAATGATAGAGCAACCTGCCCAGTTCAGACCATCTCCAAAGCACTGCCTGGAGGGAGGGAGGAACAGGGTGATGGGTGGGGAGAGAGGACACGATAGAGTTAGGCAAGAGAAGTACCATGGCACCAGGAACTTTCTGTGGTGAATTCCTAGTGAAATTTGGTTCAGTCCTGCTCCTAGAAATGAGTATACACCTAGAGAAAATGAACTCAGAAGGAGATAATACACAATTACACCCAGGCCAGGCTGTGAAGGGTAATCCACAGGGTAAGATGGGTGAGGACCTAGTGTTGGGTATTGGCCAATCTACCCACCAGGTAGGCAGGTGTTGGCCTGTCACCTTGGGCATGTCCCTTCACCCTCCTGCTCTCTCCTCAAGCTGTTCCAACACAAAGCTGAGCACAACAGAGCCATTTCACCAGGGACCCACATTCCTCCCCTTCCTCCAGAGGCTCTCACTGCACTGAGGGCATGCCAGGGGCTGGCTGGCTCTGTCAGCATGTGAACAGCAGTGACACGAGCTGGCTGGGTATAGTAGGACCCACAGCTGGTCTGTGGGTTAGAGAGGGTTAATGACTGAGATTTGTTTTGAGAAGTATTCTCTGACCAAGGCTGTTGGCCTGGAGACCAAGAAGGGAAGAGGAGAGAAGAAGTCAACCAGGAAAAAAACCTCCACAGCTGTGGAAAGTATTTTCAGAAGTGTTCTGGGAAGAACAGGGGCGTAGAGTTTTCCACCAGTGACTGCTATGTCGACTAACTGCGACCAATAATAAACCGCAAACCGTACAGAGGCTATAAAAGACGGTGTGAAATTGCAACAAAGGGGCTATGAGCCTCCTGTGACACGGGGGGAGGGGACACTCACTCTGCCGTGAACTCGTTGGTGCCCACGGGGATGCAGTACACGAACTGCATGGCGCTCCAGAGCCGGTGGAACTCCACGCACTCGTCCACGTGCATGACGCCGTTGGTGGGGGGCGGCCCCCGCCAGATGGGGTCCTGCAGGTAACTCCGGATGCGCGTCAGGATCACCTCGAACATGGAGAGCCCGCAGCACAGCCGCTCCTTGGTCAGCAGGTCCCCCTCCCGGGCAATGGCGATTTGCTGAGGACAGGGACAGCCACAGGGACACGGGTGAGGATGAGAGCCACGCTGCCTGCTCGCTCCCCAGCGGTCCAGCCTTACCTCTGACGGCTGCTCCCGTGGCACTTCCCAGCAGAGAACACTCATCCCTCTGCTCTGCTCTATTTCATCAGCCCCAGTATCTTTTGGAGTAACTATGTACGTCACCACACCAGAGCTGGAGGCAAAGCTCTGACCAGAAATACTGATCCTTAATTCTGCCAGCATACTGTTCTGCCCTGCTAGTGCTACTGAGAGTTTCCTTTCATGATTTTAATTTCGTGACTCATTTCATGGGTTTCATTTCATGATTTCTGCAGATTATGAAGATAAAACAGGACAGAACAGAGACATTTTGCTTCCCAGGACATCGCCATCATCTCTTCAAAATGCAGATAGCCTATGGCTTCCTTGATTTCTTTTGTAGTTAGGGTTAAAAAGCTCTGAGGAAGATGAGAAGCCGCTGCAAACTTGATACTGAAAAAGCTGTGGTTTGTAAGAAAGCCAAATAATTTTTTCCCAGATGTGGAAGCTCTCCAGGTGTGGATAATTTCTGTGACATCCCTGCTCAGATTCAGATGTAAAAATCTGGAATAGCTCCACTGGATAAAGTTATTTTGACTATTACACTAGAGGAAAATTAAAAGAGAATTAACTTCATTTCAGCCCCATTGCTCCCCAAGAGGACAAAAAAAACGTAAAAGGGGAATTTAGAACAAGCAAGCAGGGCCTTCCCCCAAGCTCACTGCGTGGTGCAAGCGTGGGGGTCTCTCACTGCCCTGACTCCTCTCAGCTGTCCCATTTCCTGCTGTTCCAGTGGCAGGGCTGACTTTTCTTTGCAGTGCTGCCAAGAATAACTCCTGCCATGGGAACTGAGCGCTGTCAGAGCCGTGCCCGTGGCCGTGGGAGGCTCTGGCTCTGCCATGCTCACCTCACTGAGGAGTGGCTGCACAGCAGAGCCTTTCAGCCCTCCCACCACTCTGGAACAGGCACACAGAGCAAGTGTGACATCGACTGAGACCATGCCTACCCCAGAGCAATTCCTGGAGCTTTAAGCAGTTTTTAAGCATTTGCTCCATTTCCAGTGGTCTCTGCAATGCCTGTAAAAATGTTGTCCCAGCTGGGACAAATGGCAGGCACATACACAGACATTAAGAACATGAATTATGCTTGGTTTACTTGGGTCATCTTCATCCCACTCTGAAAAATGCATGAATGTGCCTGCACATCCCCATTCCTGATTATCAATTTATGCTGGCAGTAACCTCAAGCATTTTTAGTTTGGCTGCTCTTGAAATTAGAAGCATTTCAATTCTTGCTTGTGCCACAATTTCAAGGAAGTTCTGGGGAGCTCAGCTCAATTAGTGTTCAACTAATAGCAAATATCAAGGGAAATGGTCTGGGATCCCTTGATCTGTTAAAAGCAGGAATGGTATCACTGGTTCCCTGGCACACACCTGCATGTGTTTGCTTGGCAAGGAAAGGTTTATTTTATCCAGCTTTTTTGGCTAAAGGCTGTACACTGTCCCCCTCCTCACCTGCTCCAAGCTCTTATGGGCACAGATCTGCACACACAGGTCTGTCGTGGCAAAATGAGCCATTTCAAATATAAATTAGGTGTTAGCATTACTGTTTGCTAAAACACAGTGATAAAAGGGATACTTTTCAGAACAAACTTCTCCAGTCATCTTAGTACACGATTTCTGAAGAAATCTTAATTTAGAAAGGGATGCATCTGGCTTTCAGTGTAGGTAGTGCCACTCAGTTATGCACATTCACAGACAGAATTTGGTTCTAAAATTCATCACAGTAAGACCAGTCTTTGATAGAGGACGACCATCCTAGAGTAGATATCTTAACATGGGCAAAGCAGCTGGGGAGCTGTTGGTCCTGTGTTCAGAGCTGCCTCACAGTCTGGGGTCCCACTGATTTCTAAGATCAGGAGAGGAAGGATGATCTCAAGGTGAACTGTGCTGACTCAAATTATTCCTTCTGTCTTCAGAAGCAAAGGCTCTGATTATTTCCAGGGAAGAAATCAGACTGATCAAGCACTTTTGAAAACCCCTGACAAAATACCTTTACAGTCAGCATTAAAAGGGAGAGGATTCCTTTCATGAACCACTTTGACCCCCCTGGTTCTTTATAAATGGTCCATAAAACAGCTGTTTCTGGATTTCCAATACAAAGCAATTATTTACAACAATCATTAGCAGTTCTCCTGCCATTGCACAAATCCAGTTTTGATTTTCCAGTTTTTGAACCTCTTTTACAGCCTGTTTACTGGTGAGCTTGCCATAATTCTACCCAAAACCTGCAAAAACCAATAGATCCCCCTATAACATGCATGGGGCCACCTTTTGGGAGAGGCATCGGGCAGGCAACTTCAGCTTAGATTCTGGACAATTGCTACAAGGCATTTACACATTCTGCAGGAAAAAATCCTGTATGGCCTGTGTCCAAAACTGCATTTCCAAAATGCATGTCCAAAACTGCGTAAAAGGAGCAAGCTTAGAAGCTATGGAGGCACCTATAGAAAGCAATTCTTGTGTTCATTTACATTTGAGCTAAAAAAAAAATAATAAAATCTGGTACCCAACTGTATCTGTGTGATGAATATGGGAACAGTTTACAGAAAAATAACTTTTTAGTGGGGCATGAAATATCTTTTGTTTTCATTGTAACTACAGCAGAGATAAGCAACGAGTGGACTCTAATAGCAGAATTCAATGATGATTTTGCATGGAAAGAAGAGATAGAAAGACCAACACAAACACACAAAAACACAGAGGTGAATTCTTTTTCTCGAGTGTCTCCTTTTAAAGGAAGTGTCTACAGAGTGAGACAAGTCCTCAGTTATCCAGCCAATTTCTCTGTTTCAGATGATTTCCAACGATGCAAAGTTCAAAATGTCCTTGATCCATGACAAAAAACAGGAACAAATATCAACCACTTTCTGCCTGCCATAGATCTGTCACCTCCTACACCAGCTGAGTGTTTGTTCCATTCCCTCGTCAGTACATTACAGGAAAAGGGTGTTGATTCATTTGATACTTTGAAAGATTTTTATCCCATCCATCCCAAGTAAATGGGCACTTGAAGTTTGATTGTTACTATCAATTTTTGCCCATTACACTGATCAGTCTATGGAGAGATTTTAAACAGTACTGAGTTTCTGCACAAGAGATCTTTCCCAAGCTGAGACCCACGTCAAGAAGGTACTTAAATGGAGCCATAATTTCAAGCATGTGCTGAAGCTCTAAGCATGTGCTAGGAGGGAAACCATTCTCAGATGTACTCCTTGACAGGGATGAGCTTAAATGGACCACACTGCAGTCCTAAAATGGGGTCCCCAAAAGCGATGGCAATTGATTGTTATGACAGCCCTGCAATAATTCTCCTCAAACCACTCCGGCAATTCTCCATCTTTTTAGAGTGGAGAAGAAGAGGATTTTGGAGTTGTTCTGATTCACAACTGGCTTCTAGCACACTTGCCTTACAGCTCTCCTGACTGGAGGCAGCAACACATCTCTGGACCCACTCACAAATTTCCCTTAAGAGTGTTTGCTCGGGCAAGGATTCAGATTTGCTCGTCCAATTGATGTTTTGGGTGAAAAATCAATCAATCAGTCAATCCAAAAAAAAAAAAAAAAAAAAAAAAAAAAAGGATCACTTTTCCCAAGGCCAAGCAGGCCACGTGGGGACTGCTACGAGTTTCCAACAGCCATCCCTTCCAATGCAATCCTTACCTGAGGAGTGCCCAGCCTCTCTATTAGGGGAACCAGGTGAAGTGGGGCATACTTGGCTTCGAGACGCTTCATGCGCACCTCCAAGCGTTCTCCTTCTGTCAAGCGAGCAGCAAACAGTGAAATGAGAGGAGGAAGTGGAGACCCGCGACTTTCCGCAGAGTTTGCTCAGAGCTGCCCCCCAGCAACCATCCGAGGAGACTGTGGGATCAGGGAGCCAAACCACAGCAATGAGGGGCCAGTGATGCACAGAAGGGAGGGATGGGCGGGTGCAGTCTCAGCAGCAGCTTTATCACACATGTCCAAAGCGTGTCCCTGTTAACCGAGCACTCCTGTTGAGATGGACATTTCATGCTGTCATTCTCCAAAGAGGCTGTGAAATGCCTTCCAAACCTTAAGGGAACCCCCAAACTGACTGAGGTTTCAGGTCACGACTGTGCTACAGGAAATGCACCCCTGGCTTTTGTTTGCACCTGACGTTTGGCTGTATCCACTGATCTCTATGGAGGGGGAAGCAGGGTCAGAGCTAATCCTCAGCAGAGATGGGAGAGAAAACAGCCTCTGGGCAGAGACCTCTGAGTCTGCCCACTGCTTCCCTCTCAGCTTCTTACCTTTGATGTAGACCCTGGGCAAAATATTTTGGAAGGGAGCAGCATGCAGCAAATCACAAACTTCTTCCTGGGACTGAGGCAGGAAGAAAGAAAGATAAAGTAAGTTAAAAAATACCTATGGGGAGAGTGAATGGCTCAGGGGCCTGGGCAACACTACAACAGTTCACACCTACAGCACCTATTCAGATCCAACCCAGCTCAGTAGTAACTCCAGTGGTTTGAACCTAAATGACCTAAAACTGAAAGTAACACTTCAGCTTCAGTCAGGAAGTTTCTCTAACTTAAATAAGTTACTTCCTGCCTGTGCAAGGCCAGACCTTTATAGTGATTTTCTCTCCTACTTACTAGCCCTGAAATTAAGAGGGGATAAAGAATATGGAAGTTTCCATTTCATCTTACCCTGAATGAATTCCTGCAGCCTGTTCTTCAAGAGAGCACCCAGGTAGAAATTACCCTTTGGCTTAGCTATTTTAGGAAGTGTACATGAAAAACATACTGATATGTGGCTCTTCTGCAAATAGGCACATCACAACTGGTCTGAAATGATTTGGTTGTTGGTGTGGTGTTCTCAGCCAGGGCTACCAGAATCCCAGTGGTGCAGGCACCAGGAAGAATAAAACAGAAGTCCAGAGAGGAATAACACCATGAGATGCCACCTGAGGGGATGCATGCCAATGCACTTGAGAAAAAAATAATCCCAAACACAGATGCACAAGGAGGAGAAACCTAGAAATAGGCAGGTGGAGACTGAGGAGCGATGGCCAACAGTACATTGGACACGAGTCTGCAATGGGCAACAGCAGCGAGGAAACCAAAGCTGTTCAACACAGAGGCACCGTGTCACGACAAGGCATCAGCCTGCCCCTACACAAGGCTACTCCTAGGACATGCTTTCAGTTGTGAGCTCACTGGAGAGATGTAGACACACTGGGAAGCAGATCATGACAGCGCAGCAGGAGGTGCCCAGGATGGAATGACTGGGCTGGGCCTGCCTGGGATGCAGGGGTGGGCACCACCCTTCCAGCCAGCAGGACAGTGGAGCATGGAGCTGCAGGAGGCTGCACTGGCGCATGGATGCTGGGATGAGAGCAGGTTTGTGGGAGTGCAGTTTGTGACACAGTGCTGGAGGGACAGGAACAGTCTGGGGCCCCTCCACGGGCACAGAGGTGCTGATGCTAACGGAGTGGGCCTGTCACCTTGGTCATTTTGTTTGCAAAACACTGCTCATTCCTAGGTGAATGTTCTTCTACTGCTGTTTTCCTCTAATAAAGTGAGCGTTTTCAGCCATTTGCAGCCTGCATTCACCTCATATCTGTCCCAAAATTAGTTCATGTCATTAACAGACCTCTTCCCCAAGGCCCATCAGCCAAGAGCACAAACTCTGCTTAGAAATTTCATCCCAAGCAACCCCTCATTCCTCAAACTTAATCAATAAAAAGAGGGTAAAATGCAGCAGACTGGACATCTGCATCAGAGCCATTTTTGCCAGCAAATACCACCAGCCTTAGATCACTTAGACAGCTGTGAAGGTAATTGCAGTATAAAAGCAATTCCTCCTGCTGCACAAGAGCTCCATTAGAGGGAAAATCTTGTTCTGTGATGGCTCTGTGCATCTGACATCCTCCAGCAAGTGGGAACCAGTGCCCACTGCATGCAAAATGGCTTTGTATTCCGAGCCTATTACTGTGAGGAAAAACAGAGGATCCAAGGAGAGGCTTTGTCTGGCATAGAAAGTAGGCAGATGTGGACTTTGATGGGCAGCCTTCCTTAGAGGATCCCCAAATTCCCACCATCTTTATTTTCTGCTATTCTAAAATGCCAGTACACTGCTGATGTACAGCTCCTGGGACTGAAGGAACATTTCTGCATCGAAATGAAGGATTTCTAAAGAAACCACCATGTCCCTTGAGTGTCCCTTGAGATGTGACAGGAAAGGCAAATGCAGTACATCCAGCAGAAAACCCAACACTGAGAACAGCAGAAAGCATTGACAAAGCCACAAAGGGAACAGGAACTGCCAGAATATAGTTGGCAACTCTGGTCATTCTATAAAATTCTATAATAGCCAAGCTGCTGGGTGATACACACCTCCTGTTTTCTTCATCTTATCCAGCCACTGCTCACTGAATGTGTTTGATACATTATACCAAGAATTAAAAGTCTCTAGATCTGGAGTTAAAATGCAAAGGCAAAGGCAGAAATATCCACTTCCAGGACATGCAGAGACTTCTAGTTTTCTCTGTGCTCTATGGCCAGATAAAACCTGGAATCTTTGAACTTTCTTATGGCTTTGACCTGAACAAAACTTCTGGTTTTGCTTGGAAATCCTGTCTTATGCTAGGGAAGTAATTTTGAAATATTTCTGGAAAAACTGAAACAACCCTGCCCAAACCATGATGATACAGTATGCACATTTAATGTACAATTGTGTGGTTGAGCACTTCCCAGTTGGCTCTGGACCAAATTATGAGATAAATTCATTGCTTGGTAGATTTGTTATGTGAAAAACTAGAAGCTAAGAAGATGAGTGGCACTCAGCCACAGCCTTTGCCCCACACTAGCAAGGGCATCACATGAGCTGAGAGACTTGTGCACATGTAAAACTCCTGTGCAGGGGGCAATACCAAGTTGTTGGCAATACTCCAGCCAAATATTCAGTGAAGATGTCACAGGACATGTATCATCATCAGATTTCCTTCCTGCTGGATTGCTTTATCCATTTCATCACTACAATCAATCAGGTTGTTTCCATTGCACTGGCACCCCAAAAGAGCAGAGGGATTAAATCTACTTCTCACTGTATATAAATATATATATATATATATAAAGTATTGATCCCTGCCCCAGAGAGCTTACAATCTAGAAATGAACTCCAGTTGGTTTTGTTCCTAAGCAGGACAAACAAGGGGCAGCTTTGGGTTCAAGAATGAAATCTGGATCCTCCAGCATTGAGATTCAGCCATCCCAGAGGCCTGACCAGTGCCAAGGCACACCATCCCCATGGACAAGCCCAAAGACTCCAATGACACAGCCCCAGAGGGACCCTGACAACAGGAGAAGCTGGAAGGTAACATTTCCCAAACTCTTCTGCTGAAGAACCCACTTGCACTTCTACTCTTGAGCTGGAAATTTCGGGTACGATGTTGGTGTGGGGGTTTTGCCTTACCAAAGCCTGCTCGATAAGGAGGCAGAAGAGAATGGCATTGCCCACTTCTCTGAGGCTCTGGAACACATCAGTCTTCAGCTCTGCATACTCAATGATGTCCTTCAGCTGATGGTGGAAAAACTCCAGGATTCCTTAAAAGAGAAGGAAGGACGGTCAGAAAGAGATTGGAATCACTTCCCAGTAATTTGGACAAAAAGATGATCAGTGTCTGGTATTTCCTTAATCACAAATCTCAGCTGCTAAATGGATACACAGAGACTGGCATTGGGAAGAACTAACATGCAGTGTCTTATCCTGCTTTCAGTAAGCCTTGGGAAATAGGGAGTAAGTCATATAAACTCCCTGGATTTCTTCATCAGAGGAGGAAAGAGTTCCAGACTTGATGGATGACTTGGTGCTGGCTCATGTACAGCAGCCACAGTTTCTGACTGCAGCCATGCTGCAAAAAAATTCTTCATCAGCTAAGTAGAGCATTTAAAAAAATACCAGTAAACTCACAAAAGCTTACAGAACCCTGAAAACATAAGAGAGGCTACCAGAAGACATTCCCTTATCAGTCATTTATGTGTTCAAAAGGAAATTTCCAGCAGGAGATTTCCTGGAAATGTTTCTTATACATGTTCCAGTGTCAACAGCAGAGCAGCTGAAAGTGTCCCAGCACACCTGGCTGCAAGTGGCACTGGCAGGTGAGGTGCCAGCCTGGATTAACCATGAGTGTGAGTAAATGTGCAGCAACACGTGGCTGAGCTCCTGCTCACGGATCCATGTGCAGCACCCACCTGGAGAGCCATATTCATGCCTTGGCAAGCGGCAGATCTTGGGCATTACTTCAATCAGAGTCTTCACATACTGCAGGATGGTGCCTTGGAGCTGTTGGAGACAAAGGGAGGTTAAACTGGAATGCCAGGTCTCCTGGCACTGGTTTTGAAAGAGGCTGGTTGTGGATGGGTCCACATCTGACAGCACAGGATGAAACTTCAGCTGGAGCCCGAGAAGAACTTGCTTAATTTGGATTTCACTCAAGTATGAAATTCATCCCAAGTGTATGGAGTCAGAGTGCTTTTACAGCTTCCTCCCAAAGAATAAATCCCAGCTGCATGGATTTTCAACTTCAAAATACAGCTTGCTGTGTTTGCATTGTTTGCAGCTGAAATCCAAAACAAGGCTCAGTCTTAGATGCAGCTGGCTTGTGCTCCTAACCCAAAAAAGCATTTCACCAGAGCTGCCAAAAGACTCACTCCCTAGCACAGGAAATGCTCCTTCCACCTGAGGAATGATCACTGATGCTCAAGAGTTTAATAAAGAATTTAAGTTCATGTACAGCAAGTTTCTGCAGATCTGATGTTTTGGATAAACATGGATTGGATTAGAGCAGAGCACACTGCTTAGTTTAAAACCCCTGCTGTCATTTGGAGCTACACACCTGCACCCTGTGGATACATTGTATGAGATAATGCACTAAATTCCATTTAGTCAACCGTAAAATCTTTGTGCTGAACGCTGTCTGATCCTGCTGGAATCACTCCATCATCCCACAGGAATCACTGGGATTCCTCACCAGTGAAAATCAAAGATCAGCCCATGGCTCCAAGTGCTCCAGTGGATCAAGAGACACGAGGGTGCCCGATGTGAACACCCCGATCCCAAAGCCCTGCCTGCCTGCACCTAGCCAGGCTCTGGGCTTTCTCCATCACCAGGAGATGATGATGGCTCAGAATTACCAGGCTCTTGACGATCTTCAGCAGCTCCTCCATGACCACAGCAATGCCTTGGTAGCCCAGGAGCCGACAGATGGTTTTGAAGTGAGGTGGCCCCACGAAATTGCGGTAGGAGCTGTAGATGTGGCTGTAGGCAATGTTGAGGGGCTGGGAAATTGGAAGCACAGTGACAGTCAGACAGGGCCATCAACCACACCTGTAATTCTCTTATCACAGTATTGTGTTCCATCACTACAAATCATTTTTAAGGAGGAGAAATAATGATACCAATGGCCATTCCCGCCTCTGCTTCTTGTAGGAGATTGCTTTTCTTCCTTTGTGCTCAGATATACTCTAACCTCAACTCTGTCATGGTTTTTCACAAGGTTTTATTATCCTCCTATGTAGCAACACCACTTTCATTTCCAAGGTAATTTACTCTCCCATACACTCCCTATCAAATATTTCAGTTCAGTGGCCCTTTGCCTCTTCAAAATCAAATTGTTCTCTGCTAAAATGAAAAGCTTTATATACATTTAAGCAGACAGATTTTTTCCCCCCTATGAGCACTTGCTTTAAATGAGGCTTATTAAGAAAAGCAGGAACTGAAGCAACTGAGTTTAAGGGCAGATGGAAAAGACACAGAAAAGATCTTTTTTGCATCCTGCAAAGCTTTACATCAGCCTCTACTTAACAGACCTCCCATAGGTCTGTGACAAGGGTAAGAATCTGACACTGGTCTAGGGAGAATGGTGCCCAGGACATTACCCTCAAAAATTCTTAGCAGCAGAGAACAGAAAGTGATTTCCAGGAATGTACTCTATCAGTGTCATCTTGGAAACATGGAAATTGCTGCAACGTTTCATCACTGGAACATTTACAGGATCCATTTGGTGTGAGGCAAAGAGAAGTAGGGGGAATTAATTCACTTGTGTGTTCTGCAGAGAAAAGGTACTGAGAATCAGATTTAGCTGAGACCCCACATGCCCAGGGAGGGCTCTGCAATGGAAGTGTTGGCATCACAGCTCAGCCCAGCTGAGGGGCTGCACTCTCCCCCCATGACATCTCCACTTCAGCCTCAGCGAACAGCAAAAAAGCAATCCTGGAAAAGATCCTGGCATGTAGTGCCCCTTCCAGCACAACACAGATTGACCCCGGGCTCATGCTTACCTAAAGGTAAAGATAAAGAAACAAATGAGACTGAATCCCAAATGCCTCCCTGTGGATATTGCAGACTCCACTCTACAGGGATCCCCTTTCCTGCCACTAATGGAGCCAAGGGAGCAGTGGGATGAAAGCACTGGGGAGGTTTGGGTGAAAGGGAGCAAGGGCTGGAGTGGCAGAACAAAGCAAAATGCTGTCTTTGCTCCACCACTGCTGCAATAACCCCAGCTGGAGGCTCCCTTCATCCTCCATTCCTGACTCACTCCACAAGGTTTACTTTTAACACTTCATCTGAGCTGCTAATGGTTTACAAAGTCATTTGCTAAAAATTGGAAAAGTATTTTCTTTTGCTCTCAGCTATAGAATTTCACCAATGTACCGACCACGCTTTCACAGACTTGTCAGTAATTTTAATCAATTAATTGTCCCTCATTTTGTCACAGCCCTGCAGATCTGGTCCAGCAGGTTGTTACCTGCTCTAATTCCTAAGTGCTCTTTGAACCAGCAGAAATAAGGCACAGCCAGAAAGGCCCCTATTTTCTGTGAAATGTAATTTCACCTCTTGTTCCTGGTAGGTGCAAATAGCCCTGAAACACTATTAAGTGCAGAAAGACCACCTTGGAAGCTCATTCACAACAAGCAAGAACTTTCTTTCCCATCAAAACTTAAAAAAAAAAAAAAAAAAAGGGCCCTGAGTATGTGTCAGAGTTAAGAATTATTTAGGCAGACAGAAGCCTACTTTCAAAGCTCCTTGGATAACAGCTCTTAAGAGAATTGAGCACCCTGCTTAGGCTTCTGTGTGCATCCTCAGATAACCAAGTCTTTAAAAATCTGGTAGAGACAGACCCAAAGCCACTGGTTATGCACCCTGATACATTTGAAAAATTGCAATGTGTTTTTCTGAAAAGTGTTTCTGTTTAAACACCAGGTAATGCCCAACCTGGAACATCTGCCAAATGGCCAACACGACCATCCCAGAGGGAAGTCAGTGCTCCAGGGCCCCAGCCCACCCATACTCCCCCAGCTTTTGTTGCTGTAACTTTTGCAAGGCACTGTCCCAGCCTCAGGTGCCCCCAGAGAGTGCTGCAGGGTGATCCAAGTGTCACAGAGAGGCTCCTTGCACCTTCCTTCCATGCCTCCCTGCAGGCTCTTTACCCTGTTATTGCCCCAGGTTTAGCACACTGGGGCTCATCCCAGCTTGGGGAAATAAAAAAATTCTTATTTCAGTGCGCTCATGAATCCACATCCATTTTTGGAGGCCCCTTTGCTATTCCATGGCCAGGGGATTCTGTCTGTGCATGAGCCTTGTTCCCCTGAAATGGGCTATCAGCACTGGTTCCAGTTGTGGTGCAGCTGGTCAGGTTTTTCCCACAGCAGGGCTGATATTTGGCTGTACAGATATCTGTATCTACAGACACAGATGCTGCACAGCCCCCAGTGAAATAAAGGGGCAGGAGAGCAGCTCCCAGCCAGCTTCTCCCTTGAGTGGGGGTCTCAGCAATTAGCCTGATTGGGAGAAGATACATTTTGGGATGTGCACTGGCTGCAGATGAGCAGGATGATTCACACCTGCCTGTCTGCAGGATGAGGGGGCCTCATGGAGCTCTCTGCAGAGCCATCAGTGCACTAACAGCAGGGTAGTGTCTAATAATAATGCTCTGCCAGCAATTAAAAATATAACTCCATTTAAGGGTGAGATACACAGCTTGGGGTAAAGACTGTAGGATGTAAAAAATGACACCAGTGGGTATTTTAAGACAAAGCAGCTGAAGGCACAAGCTGGCTGCACAGCACAGAACAGCACAGCACAGCACAGCACAGCTCACTCCCCCACACTGGGTGGCTGCTTCTGACCCCTCAGAGAACCAAAGCAAAAGCCTGACCCTGACATTTCCTGGGAGCAGCAGCTGCTGGAGACACTGGGGAGGTTTCCCCTATCCTTGGTTTGGGGCCAAATGAGCAGGTTTTGGGGATGGGAGGCTGGGATTTGCAGCATGGGACAGAGCCCACCCTGCATCCAGGTCTCAGGGACAGCCATCTGTGATTGTGACCATGTGGGCAAGGTCCCAGCATTGCTTTAGGAGCTCAGGAGATTACCAGCAATGTTCTGGAGAAGCTTTAGCAGCAAATGAAGCAAATCAAACCCCAGTTCTATTTCCACGTCTTTGACCTTGTTGTTGGCCATCACTCAGACCTGCCTGAGCTCACCTGAGGAAAGGCAGGGAGAGTTTTATCTGATAAAATTCAAGAGAGAGAGATAATAGATAGTACTGAGTGTTAGAGAATTCCCTTGGAAAAATGAAGAGCTAATGAAAGAGCAATATCCTGAGAGACAAAAAAAGAACTTGCACACAGCCCAAGACAAGCCAGGGCTCCCAGCCAACCTAATTTCAGTGCAACAGCTGAGTTTGTCTTAGAAAGTGGAATGAGTAACTCCAAACTCAGCATCAACATTTCTGGGAAAGTTCTTCTCGAGCACATTTTGGTGTTAGAGAGGAGCAAGTCACTCGTTCAGAGCCCCTCCCTACCCATCTGTCCCCTCCTGGCCATAGGCTGGACCTGCTCCCCTGAACACCACAGGCACTGGCTTTGCTCTCCCTCCTGCCCTCTCACCAGACTGACAGGAGACATCCCCAAGTTGTCTCTGAGTCAGAGGCATTCAAAGAAGAGCTGGTCTTAATCCCATGTAGTTCAGCAGGAGGTCAAAGTCTTTAAAAACCCAATTCCTACTCCCATCACAGAGTTTAGAAAATATTACCAGGCTACAGGAAATTGTAGCACCATCAGGGATCAAAATGTACTGTTTATGGCTCTAACTTATATCAGTGGTGTAAGTGTGCAAGGAATCACAGAATTAAAGACAAAGTCTCTGAGTCAATGTGTACCACAGGCCAGGATCCCAGATTTCACACCATGTGCCAATGTGTCTGTAACCCCAGAGCCTGCTGGGCCTCAGTGATGCTCTTGCTGGGGGACTGTGGATACAGGAAAAAAAAAAACAAAAACAAATAAGCCAGCAAAAAAACCTACCTGGCTTGTTTTTTCCTGCCTTGGAGATGCACACTTCTCCCAGGCAGAAGCTTTCAGGGATAACATTCCCAAATCACTGGAAGATGCCTGCCCATCCTTTCCTATTGGTTGCCATGGTGAGAGATGACGGAGCCCAGCCGGGTATAAAAGGGGGAGTGCTTGGGGAAAGGATTCAGCAGAGGCAGGAGGGAGGTGAGTGCTGGCAAGGCACTGCCCGAGGCCACTCTGTCACCAGAGCCACCACCACGGGGCCACGGCAGACCTGACCTGGCTGGAGGTAAGTGCTGGCTCTGGGAGGGCACAGCAAGGGCACCTGCAGCCTCAGGTAAGAACAGACAGGCAGTCATTAGGATGAGCTTATTCTTGAGTGAATTAAAGGAAAGTTAGTTATTGTTAGAGATAAAGGAAAAAGGAACAAACCAGGAACAAACCAGCTCAGCTGAACAGAGGTGCTGCTCTGAGCACTTGCTGGCTGGGAGAGAGAACCCTGCAGCAAGGCTCAGAAAGCACTTTGGGGATCTAAAGGAGTGTTGGTCTCAAGTGATTTGTGGCTGTTGCTGAACAGCCAGACAGCTCAGAGAGTATTAAAAAACTACTGGGCATTGCACTATCAGGGATCATAATCTACTACTCACTGAGTCTGGCTCAAATCAGTTTAAATGTTTAAATTTGTTAGGCGGGCAGTGTCTTTTTTTCTGTATTTGTTCTTATTATTCATATATTTGTGTTTCTCTAAAGGCACTGCTTTTATATTTCACCAACCTACAGACTTCACATTTAAGTTCCTGATATTGCAGTGTGAGATGCTGCAGGAACAGAAAGAGTTATACTTTATTAAGCAAGGAAGGTACAAAAAAATGCAGTGACAACTTAAAACAGTGAATTAACCATTATGGAGCTTTCTAAATGGCATTGAGGCGTAAAATCAAAATATCTGTTGATTGGCAGCTTCACAAGGCAATCTGGAGCTAGATTAATGATCACTTTATGTTAATCACACTTGCAGTATCCTTTTTATTTTGTGGGAAATAAGCTAAAAAAGCTTCCGATATAGACAAGCAGTTAGAGAGATTTTTTAAAAAATAAAGCACAAGTAGCAGAAAGTATACCCTGTGCTCCAACTGGATGTTCTGGTTATGAAGCAGAGTGATATAGCAGTCTGGGCAACAGCAGGATTTGTCTTCTGTAATTACAGCATGTAATCTAAGTGAGCCAGGACAGTCTTGAGTCCAATCTAAGGCAGAGTAAAAGCCAGTGGAAAGACTGCACCGATGGCAGTGTCCTTTGAGCCTTGACACGGATCAGAAAGCTGAGCCTGTCCCTGCATCTGCTTCCAGGGGCAGGATGAACATCGAGGTGCACAACATCACTTACACCAGTGCCACGGTGTCCTGGGCCAAGAGCAGCCCGTGCCCAGAGAACTACTACCACGTCATGTACCGCCCCAACTGGAACAGCGTCTTCGCCGGGTACCTGCGGCAGAACTTCCACCGCGAGGAGCGCGTCCCACACCCGCTCAGCTCCCTGGTGCTGCACCGCCTCACTCCGTCCACCATCTACGTCCTCTGCATCACCTGCAAGAACTCCTACCCCTCCAGCAACCACTGCACCACCTTCCACACGCTGGACAAAATCCCCCTGGTTTTCGGCGGCTCCAAGCACGAGCCCACCACGTCCATGTGGATGGTGAGCAGCCTCCTGCTCCTCTGCTTCCTCGCCCTCCTGGCCTACGGCTGCCTGCAGTTCTGGTCTGCACGCTGCCACTGGGCTGCCAGGCTGAAGCACCCCGACAGCAGCCCTGAAGAAGTGGTGGAAGGAAGTGGCTCACCAGAGGAGCCACTGAGTGATGGACTGAGAGAGGAGCTCCTGGAAGTGCCCATGACCACTGTGCTAATGAGGAGCTCCAGTTCCGTGAAGGAGAGCCCGTATAACTCCCCTCACTGCTTTTTTTCCTATAAAAACAGCGATGATAAAAGGGCCATCTTGCCACAGCATGGCCTTCAATGAAAGAAAAAGAAAAAAAATCTTGCTTAGAGGTTTGGTTTGTCCTGCTCCTTCCCAGCTCCTGCCAAAAGGATTGTCTGTGTGTCCATGGCAGCTGTCCGTCCCAGGGTAGAACATGAGGCATAGACATTGGTCACAGGGAGAAAGATTTTTGTAAAGTGACAAAAATACTCTCATTTGCTGATGTTTTTTAAAAAAGAAACCAAGTCAGCTCTCTGGAAACAGCCCAGCTTGGCAGACTGTAGTGCCATTAGCTCACGTGCATCAGTGTTGTAGGTTCACTTCAGAGTCATCAATCAATGTGCACAAGAAATAAACTCCACTCAAGTAGTTTCACACTTGAGTGCCCCTCCACTAGCATCACACCCCAAGTCCCTTGTATAAACAGCCTATATAAACAGTCATTGCAGCCTGAGAAAAAAGCTTTTCATCAGTATTAAGTAGTGCACACACAAGTATTTTAGTAATTCCCATTTTGAACAGAAAATGGGATTCCTGAAGTGGTACCTTTCTTGGGGAGCATCACCACATCAGAGCACCAACTTGCTCACTTCCCTGAGTGAGCGTTTAGATGGACGTGACTCAGTCTCAGTGCCAACACCAAGCAAGAGCAGTGCTGGCATCCCTTAACATGGGCATTTTATGGAGAAGAATATGGAAAAACAACACCAACAGCACACTGCATCTGCTTCTTGCATGGCTGTTTGGCTGCACACAGCAATGTGACCCTGCTTATTTGCACCCACTGCTCTGTTAATGAACTAATCCTTGCATTTCTTTCTCTTCCTAAATAAATATTTCCAACATCCACCCCTGCTGGCTGCTGTGGCTCATTTACTGACCTTGGACCCGTAGAGGTAATAGGGCTGGACGTTGGCTGGCTTGTCCCGCTGGGGCTCCTGTGTGAATGGGATTGCTGTCCTCACAAACCTGGGGAGGGAAGTGGTGAGAGCCTGGTTAACAGAGCACACACAGGGCTGGGATGACCTGCAGTTGCAGGCTAGTTAGAATTCATCTCCTCAGCTACATCAGCTGGAATGCAAAATCCTGCCACGATCTGTTGGTGGTGTAAAACCTACCAAAAGAGAGATTTCTTCTCATTTTTGGCAGGCAAGAAAACAGTATCTGAGCAGCTACCAGAGCTCCCCTGCTGAGTAAACCAACCCTGAGCCACTTCAATCACTGCCTAACTGCTGCTTGAATTTGTAACTAACATTCTCAAGACCAAAGGAAGATGGTGGGTTTCAACTTCATTTTAAGAGTAACTGTCGCATCCCACAGGGAGCACAAACCTCACCGCAATGAGTGTCAGTTTTAGGTGGCAGGTTTGACATTCTGTAAGGCAAAGCAGGGTCTCAGGTGGCCTTGCTCTCCCTGCTCACCTGTTGGTGGACCCGTTGTAGCAGTAGTTGGGCAGGAAGTCGAAGTTGAGCTCCCAGAAGACGTGGAGGGTGATGCGCCCATAGGGCGCGGACACGTTGTGGTTGGCCTCGCGGAACATGGCATCGAAGCTGTCCAGAGTCATGTGCTTGCACAGCAGCCTGTGAGTCAGCCGGTTGATTTCCAAGAGCCACTCCAGCTCCTGCAGCACATAAAGCAGCAGAAAATGCAATGTATTACAACAGAAACAGCTGATTTAATTGCCAGGGGAATGGTTTTTTATCCACAAGCATGCAGAACTAAAGGTATCAATTTAACTCAGCGGCCAAGGCCACTTGCACTTCCACTCAAGGGGGTCCTGGTCTAGTATTTTGTGAACCTGCAGGAAGTGGAATTAATTTGTTCCCCACTGAGCACTGGCTGGCTTTCACCTCAGAATCCTCCAAAGGTGGAAACTGGTAATTTTACACTACTTGACTCTGATGGTCCTGTAACGTATCAAAGACAGCAAATCCTGTACACACACGAACAATGTCAAAGCCACCTTCATCCAACTGGGAATTAAAACCAAGATTTCCTTCTCCCAGTTTATAGGACTCTCTCATATGAGCTCTGCAAAGCTGTCACCTTCTGATTTACACAGATACTTAATGGTCTGATAATAAGGCAATTAAAGCTGCACAAACAGAAACAGCAAAGACTCAGCAGCATAAAGGAAGATACATGACTGGTTGAAACCTACTGCAGGGGAACTGAAAACAGAGAACAGTTGACTGTGTATCCTCAGCAGTGTATTAGTCTCCCTGCTCATACTCAGAGTCAATACAAGTTCTTACCACGATGGATGTCAGGTCCTCACTCTCGAAGCGGCTGATGGCCTGGTCTAATGATTTGTACATGGCTGCAGAGATGCGCTGGGTAATGAGCCTGTTCAGGTCGATTGATCTGCCCAGCAACTGGCAAAAGAAGAGATTTGCACGTTATATACTGATGGGGAAAAGGTATTTTATTTTTTAGTCAACACACAAATTAAAACCAAACCTCCAAGTCTGCTTAAATGTGAAAGTGGCGGTGCAAATGCCTTGGTTGAGTGCTGATTACTTAGGAAGGAAGGAGGGAAATGTGGAGTATAACTCATTTTTGTGTCACAAAGAGATTCAATCCTTCTCAGCCCAGAGCTGATGTGGGACACATAGTAAGTAAGCAAGAAAATTAGAGCCTGAAAAATATTCCAGGCTGGAGCTTTTCAGCTCTGTTCCCAGCCGATAAGCTGGTCCAGCTCAAGGCTAGGGAGAATTTCTCCCAGGGTGATAATTTGGTCAAAATAAAAAGGAATTAGTAACAAGATAGAACACCTGTTGTGGTGTGTGCCCAGGCCCTGGCAATGGGGTGTCTTCTCTCCGAACCAATCACCTTTTCTCTACTCTTGGAGTTGCAGTCATGCTATAAAACCAAGTGTGTTTCTGAATAAACTTGGCTCTTTCTTCCTGTCATAAAAAACGACCATGTAGCTGTGCATCTTATTTCTGCCACACTTAAAGGGTTAAAACCCCTTTCCACAGCTACAAGCTGATCTCAACTGGGATGCCCTCCACCACCCAAAGGATGGCAGACCAGGGGTGATGAGTACTGGCCTTGCACTGTACCTGGACGTGCCTCTGCTTGAGCAGCGTTTCGTAGCGGTTGGATGGTGGGTATGGAATGATCACCCCGTAATTCTTGCACTCAGCCCGGAAACGTTTGTCCAGTAAAACACTGAAAAAGGGAAGCAGTGTCAGGAAAATCGAAATGTACACTATCAGCTTCTCTGTGCGTCTTTCCAGAGTTGTTTTTGCTCTTCTTTTAACCTTGGCTCTGAAGGCCAAGAAATCTTTGCACACTCAATCACAGAGCAGTGGTTGTTATCTGGGGACTGCCCTGCTTGTCTTTTGCAGCTAAAACATTCAAAAAGATAAAAAAATGTGCTGGAAGATATTAGTGCCAGGTACTGGGTGGTTCCCCTCCTTGAAGATCTGCTGTGGGAACATTTGGTTGGTGATGGTGATTGTCCTCCTTCTCTAAGGCCAAATGTGACCTGGAGACAGAAGGTGCAGTCACATGGAAGAGCTGGTTCACCTTTGGGCCCACAAGAAGAAGACTCTCACTAGATTTCATCCATGCCCTTTAAATTGGTAAGGAGGATATGCCACAAAGGTTCAATCTCCCCAAAGGGAGAACAAGTCCTGCTGCTTTACTGGGGTGAGGACAGTGCATATTCCTGTTTTGTAGAGATGGGAGGATTCCAGTCCTCTGCCTGGTACAGAAACAGAAGTCAAGCAAGGACATGCCTGTAATAAGCTCAGTTTGCTTTTCTGCTGCTCTCACAAACTGTACTCTGACAGCTACTTCGGATGCCAATTATTATTTTTTCAGTTTTAGCTGTGTCTCCTTAATTAATTTTCCCCATCTACACCAATCTGATGAGGACAGCCAGCTCTGGGGGACAGGGATGATCTATGTTTTGTCTTCCTGCAGTGGCTGCTCCCTGAGGGAAAGCTTTTGGTGAACAGCAATTTGGAGGCAGCGATCTCATCAGTCACCATCAGCAGTCAGGTTCTCTTACCTGCCAGCCATTGCTTTGTAATAGGCAAAGATCTGATCTGCCAGCTTGTACACAAATTGATCAAAGCACAAATTCACCTGGGGGAGAAAAAACAAGACTTGGTGAGGGTGGCACCAGCACAGAACAGCTCCTTCCTACGCACACAAGATCAATACAACCCAACACAGATCTCCCATTTAACACAAACATGTATTAAAGGTTACACTATCCAAAAACCACACTGCAGCTCTCACAATGCTGAAGGTAAGCAGAAAATTGCAACTACATTTCTCTCTTCATAGCTTTTGCATGTTCTTACAGGTCCTGGTCCCCCACCCTCAATCATCCTTCCCTCTCAGGGAATTTCTCATTTTCCTCTGATGTCTCAAACCCTCTGCTCATCAGACTCTGCCATGTCTCCGGTGTTTGACAGCTTTTGGGTTCCACGGTTCCCTAAAGGTACAGCTGAGCTGAGGCCCTTAATCAGGAGAGTCTGTAAGGTCTCTGGAATTGCTGATCTTTTTGAAAACTTCACAGTCTGATGTGGTATTTCTTTCAGGAGAAAGGTGCCCAGATAACTGCTGGGTCAAGCAGGGCAGTGTGACCCCAGTGAGCTTTTTCCATCCAATAAAGATGAAGAGAACTTACTTCAGCTTCAATTTCATCATACAAGAACTGTTTTTTGAACTTGGTCAAAGCATAGTATGCACTGTCATTGTAGAGGTCCAGGGGGTACAGCACATACCTGAGGGCAAGAACACAGACCACATCTAAAATTAACTCTGGAGCTTATCAGCACAAACTGCAGTCACTGCATGTCGTGCCCTGCCTGATGCAAAAAAAAAAAGGCTTTCCTCTGACTTCATACCTATCACTGCCACTCCCTGTGGTCCCTCAAATAGTCCCTCTTTATCCCTGGGTTCTGCAGGAAGCAGCTACAACTGACCTGGAAGTGAGCTAATTACGAGTTGTTAAATCAACACTTCCATCTTCTCTGCCCTTAAAAAAGCTTTCACCCTGCCCTCACTCCAGAGAGTGCTCTGACAATGCCCATATAACAGAAAAACAGGTTTTCCTAACGAGGAAGGCATTATGAAGATGATTACACTTGCAGAATAGCAATTCCTCCCATCATTTATCCCACATATAAAAAAAAGTTGAGGTGGCTTAGCTGGGCCCACCCCCTTTGGTGACACATCTGTCTCAGTGCTGTGTGCAGGTGACAATGCCACAGTGCCACCGTGTCCTGCCCACATCCCAACAGTTGCCAGCTGCTGTTTATGACACATAAAGAAGTGCCAGTGCCAGGAAGTCGCCCCTGTGTCTGCTAGGGAGGTGTTCACACAGCACATTCATGTGACAGCACACCAAGGAACATCTATTTACCTCCCACGTCAAAAACACTGCTCATCACCAGCCTCCCCTTCTTCCTGAACAAAATCCCAAACCCCAGCACGTGCACGGCCCCAGGGGAGCCCATCAGCTCTTACTCCATCATGGAGGGTTCTTTGGTTTCCAAAATATGGTCTGTGAGGATCCAGGGCATGGACATCTCGATGGGGAACTGGATGCGGCGGCCCATGGTCAGCTCCAGGAAGAACTCCCTGAACCAGAGCTGGGACAGGTCACAGCACTGCTGCAGAGCTTCTGCAATGCACACAGGGTCCCTGTTACCCCCAGGTCACTCCCTTGGGGAAGGCAGGGAGGGCGTGACACAGGAGGCAGCTGCTGCAGCCTTGCTTTTGGGTATGGAATGTTTTTCTAGGATGTCTCTGGTTTTAAACCCAGACCATGCCCATGCTGCCTGAGCACTTGGTAATGCAGGAAGAAGGAAGGGATCACCCCTTTTGCTCTAGAGGGCCAGGGAGAACACTCAAATGGCTCAGAGTTATTCTGGAAGAATAACTGTGCTCAGTGGCTCAGTTTGTCTGGGACAGAAGGAAAGTCCAGTCCTAGAAAATAAACTACCACCTGCAGCTATTTGCTCTTGCTAACAGCCCTGTTTACATAATGACTACTACACAGAAGCATGCCTGAACCAGGCAGAAGTAGGACACTTGGGAAAAAACAAGGAAAATCCTTCTGTAGAGGTCAACGAGGAGCAAAGCTGATCTGCTTTTGCCTTTCTGAGCATGCAAGGGCTGGGTTCAAGCCATAATCTCACCACTGATGTTGAGAAGGTGGGTGAAGAAGAAGGACTGCTTGTGGAACTCCTCAATGGCCAAGACTATTGGCCCATCCAAGCTGCTCCTCAGAGTCTTCTTCGAGCCACTCTTGTCTGCTATGAGGGACTCCAGCATGGTCCTCACCATGTAAAGCTTTGGAAAAAAAGGTGACATGCAGTTACCACTCTCCAGACACCATCACACACAGGCTTGATGTTCTGGGAACAAAAAACACTTTTGCAAGGTGGTGACCACCCTCTGCACACATAAGCCACTATCCTTCAGTGTTAGAGATAATTAAACCCCTAAAAGAAGAAGCTTTGGGAATTACACAACAAATTAGGCATCAAAGCAACATTTAACACACAACAGCATGAAGACTTTGTGAAACAGAGCATGGAAACAGCTGCTAATCCACAGGGTGGGAGACTCCTCCATGGCTCCAAAACCATGAACTCCCCACACAGGACACAGACATTCCCATACCTGTGTGCTTGATGGTCCTACAGCTCGTCGTGGGACTTTAATATCAAATCCACCTTTGGGATCCTTCTCACCCCTCAGGCAAGGATCATTTGGAGGCTCTCGACCTCCCTCCCAGTCACAGATTGTCTTCCGAATTGCCTGAAGGACACTGGAGTGGGGGGAGAGGGAAAGCAGGGCTTAAGTTCGGTTTTACTTCAAGATGAAAACACCCATGGCTGTGCACATATGAGAGGAAAGGTGGCATCATACACAGCTGGTATTGGTGGGATGATGGCCAAAAGTCACCTCTGGAGGAGCTGCTGGCCAAGGACTGTTGGCTGCTTGTGCACTGGAGCACACACAGGACCAGTGCTTGTATATTACAAATATACAATAGATAGGTTTATCTATAGACAAAATAGATGGGTTTTGCACTGCATTCAGGGACAGACTGACCTGATCAGAACATTCTTCTTCTTCCTGACAGCCTGTCGGAGGGGCTCCCTCAGGGTGACCTGGGCAAAGTCCTGCAGGGCAGCGTAGATGGTGTTGCGGATGGCCTGGTTGAAGACGCTCTCCATCCTCCCCATCAGCACCTGCAAGCCTTTGATCATGGCAATCACCTGAAGAAAAAGTTAAACCCAGATGGACTCGCTCTTTTTCCATGGTGTGAAGAGAGCTATAAACCCAGCACTGAGAGAATCTGGGATGAATTAATTCTACTCAAGTAACATAGGCCTGGTAATCAGGCAGCTAAATTTTGTGTGTTGGCTGATTTACAGATCACAAGAAGCTGAGGAAAGCATTTATATCATCAGTTTCTTGTTCCTACTCCTGATCTCTTGGTAACTTTAATACCACACAATCCCAAGAAACACCCATGTGTGGGTACAGCTCTTCCTGCCCAACAGCACAGTGGAGGAGGCCAGAAGGCAACATCCAAACCACCCTGGACTGTGTAAGGCAGGAGGAAGGTGAGGGTCTCCCAGAGCCTGGTTCAGAGGACTGTTCCCACTGTTTACAGCCTGCCAGGCTGAGAGCTGATGTGTCCTGAGGGCTGGCTGAGCATCTCTTGTGTTTGCACAGCTCCTGAATGCTCTTGCTCCAGATCACACTGCTCTGCAAGCCCCCTGTTCTGGGTTTGTGTGGCAACATTTTGGAAGCAGGAGGCTACAGGGCTGACTTCTGGGAGAAGCTGCTGGAAGCTTGTCAATAGAGCCAATGTCAGCTCCACGACAGACCCAGTGCTGGCCAGGGGCAATTTAAAGGCCAGATTAAGGGATGTGAGAACCCTTAATCCCTTAATATGGATCACAAGGATAAGGAACTGGCAGAATATGGTGAGAACACCCTTCCATTCTCTTTCCCTGGCCTGAGGAACACGGACAGGAAACCAGCATGGACTGGCTGTGACTCCTGTGCAAGTGGCACCTACTTCCACAAAGGCAAACTTCTCCTCACTGGTGTAGTTGTACCGGGTGGCTCTCTCATACTCCTCTGCTGTTCCTGGGCAATCCTTGTTACAGAACTTATCTGTGGGATGAACCAGCTTCCAAGAGTACTAGAAGATGGAAAGAGACCGTGTTAACATTGCAATGAGGAAGAAGATAGGCTAGAAAGACTAAATTAGGCCATATGCCAATGGGAGGCTGCCAGTCATATCAGGCCTTTGACATCCATGGACTTGTGTTGAGATATGGTCAAAACTTTGCAAATTAAGAGTTTCCATCAGTGTTTGAATTGCAGTTTTAGCTGCTCCAGACCCAGACTCATCCCAAATTTTCAGTGATGCAGGGATGCACTCACCACTTCCATGACGTGGGCACTCCACTTGGACAGAAGCTGCAGCCCCCTTAGGGCCAGGTCAAAGAGCTCCCTGTACTCCTCATCTGACTTCTGGCTGTCCAGGCCTGAGCCAGTGACCACCTGGAAGACATCACATCATGTCAGGGCTACACTCAGCAACTTGCTGCAGGGGCTTCACTCAGTCAACAGATTTCTCTCCCACATCCCACCTGAAATGAATTCCTGATCCTATGACCAAGCTAGAATTGAGTAAAGCATCACTATCCCTCAGGAAACGGGACCTTGGCAAGGCTCTTTTTACACAAGCAGTCAAATTATTTCCTATAAAAAAACTGAGACTGACCTGTCACCTCAGAGCAAATAACTGGCTGTTTTTATTCCACTTTCCCATTCCTTTTTGATGGTCTAACACTACTGAAATCCTTGAGAGTCTTTTACCGATTAAAGTTCAAATAAGCTCTTACAAATGCCAAAAAAGAAGCAACTGAGAATGCTACAATTTGTTAAACTGACACTGATGAATGAGGATCACACATGTGCAAAAAACAGTCCCAATGGCATCAGAGAGGGCACTGGCATTGAGTAATGAAAAGAACAGAGATGCCTTGGTGATCTTTCCTCAAGCCCTGACTGACAGGCCTGTGTAATTGAAAAGCCCTATTTGCAAGTCATTGGTGCTCTGACATTTGATTATAAACATTTAGCTGCCAGGTTTTTTTTCTGCTGATTTTAACGAAGCTGTGGCCAAGGAGCAGAAGCTGTTGCTGTAGATCTACTGGTGCACATGACTTTGTACCTGCAGGAGCCTTCCATAACTTGCTATTTTATTTCTGCATCAAGAGCAGTTTGTTCCACCCGTGTCCTTCATCCCTCCTCTCTGTACATCTGTGACAGACTGTGGTCCTGCCATGCTGGATCCCAGAAACCTGGGGTTTTTGATCTTTCTGTGCTTTCTGGCACTGACTCCCTGGAGAACACTGCTTTTGACCTGAGGCCTTAGAGAAAGCTTCTAAATTTGAGTGATAAAGTTAAAATCATAGGTGTGTAGTTAAACAGAAGTATGGGATTTCACATGGTAGAGCGCTTTAAATTCGAAGTTTTTATAACACAGTAATAAGTATGGGACAAGATGGAAGATTTAAGGTAGTGTCTCTTTTGGTGTTCATCTTCCATCTTCCTTCTTCATGGTTTCAGGTAGTAGTTTCTGGTTGGTCAGTCAGTGCCACACTGAGGGTCACGGGAATTTGGTTATTGGGTTAAAAGGATAAATAATATAGGTATTAATTCTCCATTGGACTGTTTAGCTCTAAGAGACCTTGTAGCAGCTGCATCTTGCTCCATTTTGCTCGCTTCTAGCAGGTAGCTAGAAGTGCTGTTGAATGCCCTGTACTTTTTGATAAAATTTAATAAAAAACCAAGCCCGAACACGAAAACATCCATTTCCTTTGTGTATTTTTTAATCCTAGCTTTAAGTAAAAACAAAAAAACCCCAAACTAAAACAAACCACTGATTAAGTAGTGCAAAGCTCCCAGCACTGTTACACTGCCACAGTGTCCTGTGTCTGTCCTGGCTGCAGGAGTGCAGCTGCACCCACCTCGCTGTTGCTGTAGCGCGCCAGCTCCGAGATGAAGCGGATGTGGTCGTCCCTGATCTGCACCATCTGCTCACAGATGTTGTACTGGGGGCTGATGCTGCTCTGAGTGCACGTCCACCTGGGCAAAAGAGCAACGGTGTGAAGGACAGGACACAGCTCCAGCTCAGACGCCCCAGGGACAGCTGCTGTGCTCGCTGCAGCCTGCTCCAGGCACGCCACCCGCGTGGCCAGTGCCAGCCTGTGCCGTGGCTATGGCGTGTGGGGTCTTCCAGAGGTGGTCTCACACTTGCCTCACCTTTCAGCCTGAATGTGCCTGCTCCATCCACCCTGAAGGCTGCTCTCCATGTGGGCTCACCTACCCCAAGGGCAGAGATGGCAATTTCCCAGGCCATCACAGGACAAGCTTTCAGGAAGTTTGAACTTCAAAGACCTGCATTATCTGCATCCTTTCTGCTAAACCTGAGGATAATCATTCCCTTAAGAGGTCTTCACTACAACTTTGGGTTGTGCTGCCTTCTCCTGCAAAGAAAAGCTCTGCAAAGAACTAGCCCTCCCATTGTTTTTGGTTCTGGCTGATGCTACCAGCTCAGTGAACAACTCTGAGTATAAATGATGTGCTGAATATGATTACCTGAACTAGATTTTCATTTGCATTGAGCCATCCGTACCATGCAACAGTGTAATGTCATCCTAAAAAAAGGCAGCACTCCCCTTCCAAAGCCACAGTTGTATGAAGGAATGGGACAAACCAGGGTTATTTAATTTAATATCTCCTTTCTCCCTGTAATGTATTAGCCCCAGATACAGAACCAGAATGGCTTCACCAAAATGTTTTGTGCAAGCACTTGTCTGTAAGTGAAATTCTCATGTCTTAGTCTGTCATCACAGTGTAGATGTTCAGATTATACGTTTTTTTCCTCCTAAATGATTGTCCATCTTATGACAGTCCTGTTCTCCAATTTAGACTGGCCACACAAAAGGAAAGTGAGAAACCTGCCCCTGATATGGACATACACATATCCCTACACTTAACTGCACCTGTTGCCAGTATTTGTGGTAGTAGAAGGTCCTGGAAATGCTGGCCCACGTCATCCCCTGTGAAATCCATCCTCCCCCAGTCCCCCTGTTTGGCTCTTACCCGTTTCCACGTGCTCCCCACCAGGCTGGGGCAGGTCAGCAGGACTGGCCAGGGCTGCCCCAGCCCTCCCTGCCACACACAACCTACTCCACAGTGCAGAAACAAAGCGCCATGCAGCAAAAACACCCATTAATTCCACTTGCACGGAGACAAGGAGGGAGAGAAAGTGACAAAAACAGTATTAGTAAGAAATGGGGATTACATGGAGGACCTTGGCAGAGTTAGAGTTGGGAGTCCCATGCAATTTGCTGGGAAGGCAAGTGAGTGAGGAAGAAACATTGGTTAGTACAGTACAGTACAGCACACAGACCTGGTGAGACAGATTTCAAAGACACACATTAAAATTGTGCACAGGTAAAACAGCCCATGAGCTCCCTTGGTTTTGAGATGAGAAAATGAGTAATGCTGCTGACACATGTTTTGTTGAAATGTGCTTTCTGAATGATTTGGGATAAAAAGGTGCAAATCTTCAGACAATTTTTCTCTTTTAAAATGTTTTCAAAAATATTCTTTAAATTCACATTACACAGAATCTCATTTTTTCTCTTTTTTTTTCCCCCCCCAATTTTAATTGAAAACTTTTTCCTCAGTTTTGCCACGTTGTTTTCAAACCTCTCCTGAACAATTAACAGGCACTTTTCAACCAGTTTTTGGGAGGGCAGGGGAGGAGGGCTGCTCCTGGCAGGCAGAGAAGCCAGACCCTCTGGGGTGGAAGGGGACGAGCAAACAGAAGTGATGGCACTGCAGGTTAATTCCTGTCCTGCTGAAGAGACAGCCCAGCCTGGCTGCTGCTCACAGACACCAGAGACACCTGATTTCCACTCAGAACAGTCCCACAGGTGGAAATCCCACAGGTCACTGCCTGGTGAAAGCCTGGCTGCCACCCACCACTACAGCCAGACACAGCTCAGACAGGCTTTGCTCGTATGTGGTTGCAAACCTTATTCCAAGGATATCCAAACCTAACCACGATTCTTCTGGTGATCACTGAACGTGATGCAAAGCTACAAACACCAGTGGGGCTCTCACGTGGCTGCTGTGACTGAAACAACATCTGTGGTTTCTTCTGATGGCAGCAGCAAACTGCCCGTGAGCCCAGGCTGCTCCTGAGCCCTCCACTCCTGCTCTTCTCTCACAATATTCACAATCATAGAATCACTGAGGTTGGAAAAGGCCCCTAAGATCGTGAAGTCCAACCACCCTGTGACTAAACCAGAGCACTGAGTGCCACATCCAGCTGTTAGTGCCACATTCAGTCTTTTCCAGGTCATTAATTCCCAGGGCATCTGAGCCTCTGGTTCAATCCTCATTGCTGCTGTCCTCCTTCATGAACCCTGCCCGAGGTAGAGGAGGCACCCTGGCTACTGCAGAGATCCAGTGCTGTGTTCATGCTCTGGAGGATTTTGTCCTTGGGGTACAAAGTGCGGATTAAAATCTCCCCAGAGCAGGGACACGCTGCTCACACTCACACAGCTCGCAAGCACTCGGCGCTGCCCCGATCCATGCACCGGCCACCCTTCCTTCCTCCTGCCTCGCTGCCAGCCCCCTCCCAGCCCTGCCTGCTCCCAGGGGATGGCTACACGGAGCTGGCTGCACCCCCGGGACATCTCCCCATGCAGGGACAGGGAGGCACACACGGGCACACAGAGCTGGCACTCACACCTCACAGGGACACACACGCGTGGGGCCGTGGCTCCCACGGCCCTCAGGACACACACAAAGCCAAGAGACATTATGGCAGGCACTCACTTGGATTTGTTCTCCTCATAGTGAGCACTGGTCTTAATGTATCTGGCCAGTTCTATCTGCATATCGCCGAATAAAGGAACCACCTGCAGCTGCTGGAAAAGAAAACAAAAGATGGTTGAAACACGGCAGAGACAGAGAGAGAGAGAGAGAGAGAGAGAGAGAGAGATAGAGCCTGGCCCAGAACAACACAAGGGACTCCAAAAAGGCATGCTGCACCTCTGAAGCTTTGGAAAGTGTCAGGCTGTTTGAAGCAAAGTGCAAACCTGGACCCCCAGGGTCATTTCACACCTAGGAAATGACTGAGAATGATCACAAGGCTTTCTGTGGGAGGACATCACCCCTGTGATGCTCTGGAGCCCTGGGATCACTGCTGCCAGGCTGGTTATGGCCAGAACAGTTCAGTGCTGGCACCAGCCAGAGGAAAGGCTCTTTTTACAACAAAAAGAGAGAAGTGTGGTCCTAAGCAGGGCTTAATGCCTCCCAGCCCAATTCTTCAAGAGAACAGAGGGGTGAAAAGCCAGCCTGCTGCTGTTTTGCACACTCAGGAAGGCGTGAGCTTTCCCCAGGGACTCAGCACTGTGATTACTTGTGATGTGTCTTAAAACTTCTCCATAAAGAGAAAGACACAGGCAATGTAACAAGGCTCTGCCTGCCCTTTACTTCTCAGAAGGTTTTGGATGGGAAATAAATTCCAGCTGCTCGGAAGACACCTCAAGCTCAGACAGGTCTCTCCTTCATTAAACTTCCACCTGCAAACAAAAACCAAGGGCTACTGACATCTCATCAATAAAATACGAAGCTTCAACTTCACCCAGCTACAAAAGCCTTGCTTTTGGAATTCAGGGAAGATGGGGGCAAATTCCCTGTCCTAGTACCACACACTTCTCAGGCTGAGTTGTGCACAGGATGTGTAATGCTGTCCCACTGCCACTTCCATAAAAGGTTTAAATGAAGGGGTAGCTCATTTTCACTACTCAAATTCCTGGACAATCCACTAGAAATTTAATCAGAAGGCAATAAGCAGATGTAGTGAAGAAGTTGGTCTTTCCTTATTGAGATCTGATAGTCTGGAGTGGTACTTAAGAGATGAGGTGAGACAACAGTAGATGCTGGAGAAGTGCAAATGGAAATCAAGCTGGAAAGGAGAAAGTTACTCCATGCAATGGAAGGTATTTTACCTCATTCTCTGATGGCCCACAGCACTTTGCAATGAACAGCAAATCTCCCTGAATGCACCAAGATGACCAAACTCTACAGATTACACTGAAGGCTTCATTTAGAGATTTAGCTGAATTAGCAAAGCTGAGCCAGGGAAAACGCAGAAGACTTAAAGAATGACATGATAAATCACCTTTGCAGAGAGTCTCCCCAGTGATGGGAGGGTTTTAAAACATCTCATCACTGCCCTGTCTATAAGGTTATGGTGCTGTGGCCCCCTGCTCTTGGGGCTGTCACCAGGAAATGATGCCAATTGGGGTAAATAGGTCCCCACTCGCTCAGGGGAGGCTGCAGCAGCCAGCACATCAACCTTCAGCAAAGCTGGGCTCACCTATTTCCTTCCCTGCACAAACCCAGCACATCAACCTTCAGCAAAGCTGGGCTCACCCATTTCCTTCCCTGCACAAACCCAGCACATCAACCTTCAGCAAAGCTGGGCTCACCCATTTCCTTCCCTGCACAAACCCAGCACATCAACCTTCAGCAAAGCTGGGCTCACCTATTTCCTTCCCTGCACAAACCCAGCACATCAACCTTCAGCAAAGCTGGGCTCACCTATTTCCTTCCCTGCACACACCCAGCACATCACCCATAAACTGAACCTCGGGGCAATAAGCAGGGAGACATCCTCTGTCCAACACCACAACCAATCTCTTCATGCAGGCTCCTCACCCCACCTCTGGGTGAAGTACCAGGGACAACCCACGGTGCTGGAAGAGAGAGGGGAAGGAGCCCTCTGTGCCCTCCCACAAATCATCACCTTCTCATTTTCCCTGATCTGGAGCAAGTGTTGGTAACAGAAACTAATCTTTCCATCTCAGGGGAAAGGTTAATAAAGGACTCAGGAAGGTCTCAAAGCAAACTAATTGCTCCATCTGGGAAATTCTTCTGCTCTCCTCTTGCTCTTTGCCACCAACTCATTTGTCTTTTGCTAGATCCCACCATGCCTCCTACAGCTGAGCTGCTCCAAACCCAAAAGGCCTCCCAAACCCAGCCTGTGCCCAGAGGCAGTGGAAAGGAGGCACCACCTTCCCTGAGGTGCTGTGTGGGCTCTCAGCCCTCCTCTCCACCAACAGGGTTATCCCAAACCCTTCCTGTGCTGAGTGGCCCCAGAACAACGCAGCCTGGCCTCCAGCTGTGCTCAGACTATGGCCAGATGTGCTCCAGCAGAGAGAGGCTGTGCAGCTGGTTCTTACCCTGCCACCCAGATTTCATGGGCCTTTCCCCAAAATCCACATCTCAGACAAGACAAAAACGGTTCATCAAACCACAGTGACCCTCTGAAGATCTCGCTGAGCACCACCAAGTCCCAGCTGACACAAACTCCCCCAAAGGCTTTTTCTGTGCTGCAGGAAGCACAGTTTATACATGAAATAAAACTGCCAGATCACACATTGGCTCGCTGGCTGTGCTCTCTGTCCCTCAGCTCAGCAGCTTGCAGAGAGAGAGAAAAGCAGAACCATGACCCACACACACCTCAGCAAACCAGCCAGGTTTGCTGTGGCCTGAAACCAGACTGCAAACCTGCCTCAGGAATGTGCAAAGAGAGAAAAGCCATGTCACACAGGCACATCCTTCCCTCATCCATGAAACAGCCTCTCCATCCTCTGCAGGAAGCAGCCAGAGCTGCAGCTCCCACTGGCTCCAGAGCCCTGGAAACAGAGCCAGTCCCAGAATTGCTCTACATCCACAGCCCTGCAGGCACTGAGGGTCAGCACTGCTCACCTCACCCCTGCTGCAGCTCTGTGCCCAGGCCTGCTCACAGCAATTCCATTCCTCAGCCTTTGGCCTAGATAGTTCTTCAACCCTTGGTTTTTTGGACCTGAAATGATTCCTGTGGTTTGTTTTTTGCTAGCAGCACGTGCAGTGGTACAGGCTGTTAATCCACTGGTGTGCAATAAACACCAGCCTCACACAGACAGGTCACTGACCTTGAAGAATTTGTCTATTTTGCTAAGGTTGATTCTCTTCTTGGCATCCAGCTTGTAAATGTTGCTGACATTCCCATCCATGAGATACAGGCCAAACCCCATCACCTGGAGAAGATGGAAAGCCAAGGTTTTGTCAGCATGAAGTCAGCAGCACAAGTCAAAGACAGTTCTCCAGCACTCAGCATGAGGAAAGAACATTTCAGGTTCCTGTTGCCACCTGACCCTCATGAGGAAATGTTTAAAATGTGCCTGTATCTGCCAGGATGCACATGGTAGGCAGAGGACACAGGATGGATTGCTTCTGTTGTCTGTGCAAAAACAAAAGATGCTTCTCTTGGCTACTTATACCTCTTCTCTCCACGTAACAACAACCCCAAAATTTTCTCCACCCAAAGGCAAAAGTTTACTCCTGGAGAAGAATTTAAAATACTCTCCTGGATTGATTTTTCCCCTCCATTAATTCAGTACAAATCATTACAGAGAGTCAAACTCCCCACATTACCCTTCGGAGAACCTGAGCTGACTCACACCATTGTAATGAAGTTTTTATGGCAATAGTGACTGCAATCATTGCCAATAACTGACTGACAGCAAGGACAAACACACCAAACAAAGAGATACTTTGGCATGTTTATCTTGAGGACTCTTTACAGCCAGAAAAACAAACCTGGGTGCATCTGCAGGGAATTATTGCTGGGAATGGGCATCAAGAAGAAAATTCTGGGTTACAGGTGAAGTTCCAATGTCCTCTGCAGTTACACAGGTCAAGCCCATGTTCCTGCACTTCCATGCACAACAGAAAAACCCCATCCAGCCCTGGAGGATGTGAGGCACCCACCAGTGCTCTCAGCCACCATGTGCTCAGTACCAGGCAGGCAGAGCTGCTGGCAGCATTGGGAAGGATTGTGGGGAAAACAGAGAGACGGAGATGGGGAAGAGGAGAGGAAAGGGAGAGAGGAAGGAAGATTTTTATATGGGAATAAGGGAGAAGGCCATAAAGGACAGCAGAGGATTGATGGGAGAAGGTCCAAGCTAGGGCAGGAACAGAGGCAGCTCCGGGCACTGCCCAGCACAGCTGCCACTTCAGAGCTCTGGGTGGGACATCCCCAGTTCAGGGCCATGTCCAGCCTGTTCAGCTACAAAAAGAGGTGATTGGGAGGACTGAGAGTAGCACTGAGTGAGCAGAGGATACAAAGCACCAGGGATCAGAAAGGGAACAGGAAAAGGAGGAAGCAATGCAGTTTTGTTGCTGCCTGCAGAGCACTCACAGCAACTTGCAGAGAACACTGTCTCTGCAGAGAAGGGATGAATTCAACCCAAAGGAGCAAAAAAATCAAGAAATTGAAGAGAGATTTGTCCTAGGAGTGAATTTCATGTTACTGAAATAACAGTGAAACTATGCAAGCACCCAGCCCCACGAGCATGGCCCAACATCACCTTTAAGAGCATGTGCTTCTCACTGGGGGTGAGATACATCTTGTTTTCATAGTAATCCACACAGATGTTGACAATATCAGCCAGCAGCTCCTCATAGCCAGGGATAACCTCTAGCTGTTGGTGCAGACACTGAAACACAACAGAAGCCACATCATTCACAGGCAGAGGAACAGCAGAAACCACGCAGGAAACACTTCAAGGATTAAGAGTAGAAGAAGAAGAGGTTCCTTCAAACCTCATTTGTGTGCTTAAGTTTACCAGAAGAAGACTGAGCTCATGGCTCCACCTGGAAAGAACAACCTTCCTCTGTAGGACAACTCTTCTTCAGACTGATCACAACACCCAAACATGAGACAATGAGATGTACAGGAGGGTGACTCTGAGCAAACTGATTCCTGTCTCTGCAATATTTTAACCAGCTAGCAGAACTAATGGAGCCTGTGAAGTGTGGAGGGCCACAGGGGCTGAGCTGCAGTCTCCAGGCAGCTGCAGGGGATGAAGTTCTGGCAGAACCTTCACCTCCTGGAGCTCTTCTTACATCTTTTAGACCTTCATCTTTGTCTTGGCATAGAAGCCTTCAAAGCCACTCAGGACGACACATGAGGAGACATTTCCAGAATTACCAAAAGACCACCAGAGTCAGTGGCAAAGACCCAAAAGCTGCTGCCACAGCCTGCTCTGAAGTGCTGTCAGCCTCAGCAAGATCACTGCTTCTCTCTGCTCATGAAAGGTTCAGAGGCTCGGGGAAAAGAGACCTGCCTGAGTGATGCGGTTGTGGTTTGCCAGGAACATGGAGAGGTTCTGGGACTCCTGGATGGACTGGGGGTCTGCCATCTTCCTCAGGAACTGGGCAGCTCTGGAAGGGACAAATCCAACATCACCAAGGGTCACTCAGCCAGCAGGAGACAGTCACCACCACCCTCCCTGCCTGACCTGCAGCAGTGTTGCAGCCTCAGACCCCGCCCTGCATCACAGGGAACTGAAACACAACAGGGCTCAGAGATCTGCCTAAATTCACAAAGAGAGCCTGGGACAGCACAGACACCCCATCTCCAGCCCTGATGTCCTCCTGCCTCATTGCTGGTCACACCAGGGGCTCCCTTGCAGACCAGGCACAGTCCTGCCCCCCATTCCTGCTGCTTTGTCCCCTCTCACCTTTTGTAAGCAGAATGATCATTTTTGACGCTGCACTTCATGTTCTTCAGCTCGTCCAGGACAGCAAACATGTTGATGAACTTGCCCAGAGTGAGGAGATAGGCCTCAGACACGAAGTCCTTCCTCCTCTCAGCGTGGCACAGGCGCTTCACCTCGCTGCAGAACCGCTCGATGGCCTTGCGCTGCAGGGCAGGGCACAGGGTCACGCACCCCATGGCAACCCCCTCCACCCACCAGCCCCTTCAAAAAAAGCATTTTTTAGCTGGGGATGGAGGCTCCAAGGCTCCTCTCTGCTGTTCCCATGCAATGAAGCATTGCTGCAAATCACTGTTGACAAACAGGCTCAGTGCTTGAGGGAAGAAAGGGGCTCGAACACTCCAGCCGCACCTGCCCCGAGTGGGGGGTGTTCTGCAAAACCAGGCTGCATTTTTTAGGTGGGACATAAAGACCTCACAGGATATAAACCCTAAAAATGATTGTGAAACTCAGCTGCAGGCAGTTAAAATGCAGGTGGTGATGGGGAGCCCACAGCAGCCCTGTGACTGCCATGTGGCAGTGGAGAATCAGCTCTTCACATCAGCCAACATCCCCAAAAAACAGCAGCCTGTGATACTCTTAGCTCCAAATAGTGGGGGCTCTGGGTTCCCATGAACTTGAAGGGCTGAGGTGTGCTCCTTCCCAACCTGTATAGAAGATTTTGGGGCTGAGCAAGGGACACATAGATTTTCCCTCACACAGGTCTCAGGTTTCTGCTCAGGTGGCTGCAAGGAAGAGACATGCTGGGGGCTGTCCTGGCAGGCAAGGATAGCACAGCCCTGCTTAGGACGTTAACACCAAAGTAAATAGATTATTTTTGCCTCTCTCCATGACCACTTACCTGAAAATACATGAACTTCATAAGCTTGGTGACTTCTGGCTCCAGGACTTCCACTGTTTTCTCATAAATCTCCACTCGGTTTGGCTGTTCATTACATTTCACCTGCATTGCAAAGAAAATCATCTGTGTCAGCATCAGCTTCTAAGCCAGCTGTGGGTCACTGTGGCGTCTCCTCCTTGTTTCACAGGGAGTCCTGTCCCCACCCAAGGGCAACAGAGGGACCTGAGAAGGAACTGGTTCACAATACAACAGGTGAAAGCAAAAGGGGATATTTCAGATCTGAAATTCTCTCCATGCACTCTAAAAAGTACACAGTCCTGACTCTGGGGGATAAAAGTGTCCTAATGAATTTGTCTGGCATAGGACACAAGCAATATGGAGTCTGGATTGCTGTATAATGTGGGAATGTTGTAGCATGAAGTTATTTGATATTTGTGTTGCAAGACACACAAGGCACCAGGTTGCAGCTCTGCTAGAGCCTTGCTGGGATTATTCTGGTTCTGTGGAGGATCCATTAAAATCACTGGGCTTGCTTGTGGCTGACAGCAATGAACTGAGTCACTGTCGCTGGGCTCCTGGGAAACTAAATTTAAGGACTTACTCAGTTGTCATCCATCTCATTTCCAAAACAGTTACTTGGAGTCATTATCAAACTTACAGGGAAAACACCAGCTGCCCAGGGCATCCTGCTCTGCAGCTGTTGCTCGCAGAAGGCTGTGCTGGGCTGACAGCTCTGGGTTCAGTAACCCAGCAGCTGATTCTCAGGGCATGGGGGGACACGTCAGCCAGCCTGACATGGGGGACACTGCCAAAGGAGCCTTGCCCTCTCTGCAGTGGGCAATCCAATGTCCCTGCTGCAGGCAGGCAGTGCCACAGAATTACAGAATATTCTGAGCTGGAAGGGACTCACATGGATCATCAAAGTCCAGCTCCTGGCCTTGCTCAACACAGCCCTGAGAATCCCACCATGCATCAATGGCCACAAGGATGCAGTCAGGGCAGAGAGGAGTGGTGCACACTCAGGTGCAGGCTCTGTTCCTCACCTGTGAAGCCACAGTCTCTGATGGAGCAGGGAGCTGCACCTGACCAAGCAGGGTGTCTTGGTTTAATTTCGATTTCCCGGCCAATGCACCAAATTATGTCTTCGTTTTGATTTGCCAATTTAAATAAACTTATTTAAACCTATCACACAGGGAGATTAGGGGGCCGAGCACAGCACCCCCCTGGCCACATCCAAGTGCCCCATGGCAAAGCTCAGGGGCCACTGCAAGATCAAACCTGATCCATCTGTAACTGAACCCTCTGCTGTGGCATTCTCTGCTCCTCCATCACACACAGCACTGAGGGGAGCACAGGGGCAAAGGACAGGGATCCCACAAGCTGCTCAGAGAGGCACAAATGTCACAGGGAGGACACTAAACAGATGATCTGCAGTGCTGTCTTGCCATCAGCTTAGCCAGAGGTTCCTGCAGGTGTAGCCAGGGGAGGCAACAGCAGCACAGCAGCACATACACAGCACCCAAGAACAGCAGAGATCTCCTCATGGCTGGCTCCCAGCATCATCTGCTTTACTTTGCTTTGCTTCTCCTGCTCTTCTGTCTCCACTCCAAACTAACCCACACTCAAGACAAAACCAAAGAGGTGCTCTGGGAGCCCCCCTGCCTGGGAAGGGCTTGAATACCTGAGGGATGGCTCGTGAGCAGCTCCTCCACGTGTAGAGCATCACGGCGTACTCGTGGCCTTCTTCCAGCATCTCATTCTGAAAGACACAGGGGTGCTGGAGGGACAGGGCAGGCACTGGAGGCTCAGCAGCCTGGGGACAAGGGCTGGGGGACTCACCATGCTGGAGTGCACCGTGGCCTGCTCGATGTACCTGGCAATGCCTGTCACAAAGGCGTTCCTGTCTTCAAAGTTTGTGTCAAAATTAGCCTGTGGGTAAAACGGGGAGATGGGGATTAAAACAAGCTGGTTGTTTGCTCACCTGGTATAGTCTAGCGTGGGATGTGTGGGCAAAAAGCAGAATTAGTAGGGCTGCTGGGGCACGGGAGGAGCTTGGGAACTATTTGAGGTGCTGCACCTCTAGGTCTGATGTAGTTTCATACATACACACACCCTGAGATGCTTTGGAATCACACATGGTCATCCTGCTGGGAATATGTGTGGAAATATGGCAGTCAAGACTGACAAATCCTTGTAAAATCAAGCCCAACTTTACTGCAGCCACACCAGAAAGAAAAGCTACAGCAATTATTCTAAGGATTTTAGCTGAGTAACTCAAAGACAGATGCAGCTTTATTAACTTCTGTTTGTGCCCTGGCTGCTAGGGAAAGACCACATCCTGTCAGCAGGAAGTGTAAGGGATAAACACAGAGAAAGGGCAGGGGATGAACTGTCTGGAAAACATAAATATGAAAGTCAGCCCTCATCCAGGTGCTATTATCAGTGCTACTGCTGCTCTTGCAAGCACCAACAGTTGTTGGGACAAACATTTGTTCTGGAAGCTGTGATACAGTTTTGGGTTGGGACAGGGGAGCAAGAAATGGCAGAGGCAGGTGGGGGATGGAAAAGCAGCTCCCCTGGCTCTCTGGAGTGCCCTCCACGTGCTCTGTGCTGGGTAATTTCCTCTGCCAAGGCTGGCTGATGGTATCTGCTGCAGGGCAGACAGAGGTCCCAAGCACCCAGAGCTGCTCCTTGTGATGACAGCAGCACTGCAGCGACCACACTCCCCTCAATAACTGATTTCCTGAGTAGGAAAGCTGGGAGCACAGACCTGTGGCCACAGGGCCACTCTCCTTAGTGCCTCCAGGACATCACATGTGACCAACGTGACAACAAAAGCTGAGACTGCATGTGCATTTCTGGCTAGCAGGGGAGAGGGCTGTACACAAACTGAGCGTGATAAGGAAAAAGGCTTGGCCAACATCTCCACATCCAGCTTAGAGGAGACTTCTAGGCCCAGCTGTGTGCACACACTCCTGGCCCTGAAAGGAGGCTGTGCCATAAGGCTGGACCCTGAGCCTCTCATGAGATACAAGCCAGTAAAGGCTAAAATTTATTGAAAGAAGAGATAAGCAAATAATTACATCAAGATTTTTCAGGCAGAGCTGAAATTTGAACAGCCCAGAATGACCTTTGGGTCTGATAACCCACAGAGATACCAAGGCTCTGGAATGAGCCCGGGGTCTGACCTGCTGAAAGAGATCCTGTAATTCCAGAGCCCTGCGTACAAGGCACAACAATCACAGTGCTGGTGTGTTTATACACTGCCACGGCTGAGCCAGCAACTCAGGAGTGGCAGGATGGAGAGAGGAACCCCCTATTATATTTAACCCTGGGTGTGTGCTATAGGGCAGGGTGTGGTGGCCAAGCAGCAGAGGCATCCCACTGTGGAAGCAAAAGCAGGAGCTGTGCCCTGGGCCCCTGCCAAGCTTTGCTTGGTCAGTGCAGCTGCAGCTAAATCTGAGTTGTTCAGGGCAGAGAAGTGGCTCTAGCAGCTGCCCTCCCTCACTTGCCAGCAGCTCCAGCTGTGCTAGAGGCACAGGCCAGCCAAAGCCAGGCAGGACTTTGAGCCTGCCCTGCTCAGTTCGATGCACGCACGACCATGAAAAGGAAGCACAGAAATACGAGCACAAATAAACATTGCTGAGAACTTTCTGCTGTTATCACAAATCTTATCTCCTGCTTCCAACCCATTCATGTACTCTGGTCCTCATTTTTGCTCGGCCTTAAAAGTCCCTTTCACCAGTCTCTGGTGCCTTCCTTTCAAAGTCCTTGGGAACAGATTTGTGGCTAGATCTGTTCTGGACGCTTCCTCCCCTACACTGAACCCCGGATGTTTTCAGCTGGTTCTCACAGCACCGTGTGGCCCCGTGCTTTGCATGAGCCACTGGAACAACCCTCCCTACACCCTGTGCCTCGGGGAGCTGCAGCACCTGGTACATGATGGAGGAGGGAGGAGGCTCGATGCATGGCTGCTGGTCTGGCAGGGGCAGCTCCTCCAGCAGGTCCACGTTGGACAAGGCATCCTCGAGAGTGACGTGGGTCGTCATGGCTGCAGGTGTTCAGTCCCCCTGCTAAATCCAAAGCAAAAGAGAGGGTGATAGACAGGCAAGGCAACCAGCCAGCAGGCAGGAGACTGAGTGGGAAAGGACAAAACCAGAGACACGACTGGCTGGCATTGCAAGGGACAAAATCCCAATTTATCTGTTTTCCCTTTCTCGGGCGTTAAACCTACATCTCTATGTCATCTCTCTCCTTCTGTGATTCAACAGCAGAGCAGGAATGCAGAATAAGAAATACAACTTCTACAATACAACTTCTACAACAAATACAAATACAACAAAGAGGCACTTCTCTCTTAACTCAATGCAAAACTATCTCAGACAGAACAGCGGGGTGCTGCAGTGCAGCTTTAGCAGCCCCGGGTGAAAGCGTGTGCCCCGAAATGCAAAGCGGTGCTATCAAGAATATCTCCTGAAGCAGCTTGATTAGAGAAGTATGACGGATGCTGACACTCACATGCTCTCCTTCTCACACACATGAACAGCCCTGGAAGCTGTAAACAACCAACTGCATTAATTCCCAGAGGTGAACTGGAAAGGCTTGAATGCTGTGCAGGCAGAGCTGTGGCACTGCAAGCAGCAAAAAAAGAAGTTGCTGTTAAATTTCCCTACTTTTACCACTGACGTGGCATCCCCTGCCCAGTCCCAGCCTGCCCAACAGCACCAGTTGCATAAATGAAAATAAATACATAAAATAAAACCAAAGGGAAACATTTCTGAAAGCTCCCTGGTGCTTACCCCAGGCAGGCATCCAGTGGAAACCACAGAACAAACCTGTGTGTCCCTGTGTCCCCTGCCACTCACCTTGGCTCTGAGTGCTCAGGCACGGGGGACAGGGCTGTCACCCAGGCTGAGCCCTTGAGTAATCACAGCCACAGGGCTTCCCCAGTTAATGCCTAATCCTCTGCAATAGCTGCAGCCACCTAGAGCCTGTGTCTCCCAGAAAAACACCCTGCTGCACTTAGACATTTGCAGAGAGAGAATTCTTTAAATATTGACACCTCATTCAATTAGCAAATCACACCCCCTCGAGTGTTTCTTGCCTCACTCAGAGCCTGTCTAGTTTGAAATGTGAGCCTTTGAGTTTTGTTACTCTGATCTGCAGGACAGTAGAGCTCCCTAAATCAAAGTTCCCATCGAGATACTCACACATTTCAATAAAACACCCTGCAAGCCAGCTAAGCTCTTTGCCTGCCTCATTACAGAACATGTTTTCAAATCCTTTAATCATCTCTTTGGCTTTTCTCTAAGCTTTTGCAACTTTTTTTGCCAGACACGATAGCAAGCAGGACACAAGGCTCCAGCAGTGTCTGCACAAGCACCAAATACAACAGCAGCATTTCCCACTGCTTCCAAGAAAATAAATTTGCTTTTTATTTCCAGACATCGGCTTTGGGACATCCGTGGATAGACACACACACACCCCCAGCAAGGGCCACAGCTAAGGGGGAGGCACAATGTGCACTCCTGGGGTGGCTTCACCCCCAGAGAAATAAGAGGGAAGGAGTCTGTAGCCGTGCCTCATCATCCTGAGCTGCAGGAATACGTATGAGCCTGGCAAAACTCACTCCTGCTCCACAAATGCCTCCCCAAGGCACCAGGCAGCTGAGAAACAGGTTTGGTTGTACCTGCAGCTGATACAGCATTAAACGAGTGCCTGGAAAAAAAGCAAAATATCAAGCAGCTTTTCCCTTCCACACTCAAATTTCTGTTTCCTTCTTCACCCCTGTCTGGTGAAATGGTTTCCTGTTACAAATGGTAGCAACTGTCAAAGGCAGACATTACATTTGTGCAGCTTCCTCCCTCCCTCCCTGCCTGCCTGCCTGCCTGCCTGCAGGCTCCCTGGGCTGCTCTGCACGGGGGAGGCTCAGCTTGCCCAGCCCCAAAATGGACCCAGAAGTGCTCACCATGCTCCACCACCATCCTCCAGCACCTCAGGACCCACCACTGGGATCCCAGAACAACTCCTGGCTACTCACTCATACTTCATTACATACTTCAGGCTTGAGAAGGTAAAATTCCATTTCATAGCTTTGAGGGCTGTGGCTGTTTATTTGGGCTCATTCCCCAGTGAGCCCAAGTCTATTCCAATTAAGTCCAATTCTAAGTCCAATTCTAAGGCCATTTGTGCAAGGTGCTGTCTGTTCACTGCAATCAAAGGCATTCCCAAAACAACTCTATGACACCCAAAGAGCTCAGCAACTCAAGGGACAAAATCATTGCTGCTGTTTGGGCCACCCCAGGAGAAAGAGTACCAAATCCAGCATCAGTGTCCTGCTGTGCCAGGCAGTCCACACACCTGGGAGGATAAGCCAGTCCCTACCCTAAAAATCTTACACTCAAACAGGCAGAGAGGAAGGCTGCAGAAATACATGAACAGAAAAGAATACATCAAGCCATTGCAAGTGAGAGGTGCAATCAGCCCCCAGCCCACCCCAGGCTTTGCCAGGGCTGAGCAGTGCAAGGATCCACATGCAGCTGGAAAAACTACAGACTTTGAGGGTTTAACACATGAGTTTTTTTTATCAGGACTTCCAGTTTCCACTCCACCCTTCCTTAAGACCAACTGGGAACCCAGCAGCAGCTACAGGGAACAGCATGGTCAGCCAGGACTTCCCCTGGGCCTTGTGTCTGAGTGACTGAGGGGTCACTGGTCCAGGGCCAGCAGACCTGGATCATCCCCAGACCATCCAGAGAGGATGGCAGGGGAAGCTCTACTCCCCCAGACCCGTGCTGCCCTCCCTCACCTTCCTGCACAAAAGGTTCTAACACTTCATGCTGGGGCTGTGCTGTAAATCCAGCTCCATCCCCTCTGTCCAGAGACAAGGGGGGCAGCTCTGAGATAATCTGGCAGTGGCCAAGCAGCTCCAGCTCAGGGAATTCAGGGATCCCCGGGGACACTCATCAAAAAGCCTTAATTGCCATCCACCACCTGGGCTTTGGGGTGGGGTGGCTGTGCTGGGAGAGGAGACTCAGCCCATGGTGGTGCTCTGGTGACAGTGCTTGGGCACTGGTGGCCATGGGGCTGGCCCAGGTGGCCATGGGCTGGGCTCCACCCAAGCAGGGAGCAGCACAGCAGCGTGCCCAGAACGGGGCTGTTCTCTGTGCTAGCACAGGCACAGTGGGGTGAGGTTTTCCCTTGCACACCCACAGCACATCCTGCCCCTCTGGACTCACAGGCTGCCAGGAGCCACCTCCATAACCTGCCCCTGGTTCCCTGGATGAACCAGGCTTCTCTGGAAGTCAAAGTTCCTCTGATCCTACATGTTTTGGCAAAACTGAAGGTGAGTCTGGCAGAAACCAACCCCACCCCAGTGAAACCTGGGGCAGGGGTGCTGCACTGGGCTGTTTATCCCTTATGCTCATGAGCATCAGTGCTAATGGGTGCAGTGCTGCCCACACTTCCTGCTCATTTGCTGCAGAAACTTCCCATCCCCTTCCCACACCCCAGCTGCAAACCCTCTGGCCATCCCCACACCTTCTAAAGCCAAATGATCACACAGAGGACCCGAGGCTTCAGATGGTGCAGGGGAACCTGCCAGCCATGCACACGGCATGGCCCCATCACCCCGAGAGGGAAAGGCAGAGTTCCTGACACAGGGAACAGCAGCCTGGGGACCAGATGTCACAGGCAGCACAGGATGGCTCTGAGGAGTGAGGATGGACAGCCCAGACATCTGAACTTGCAGGACATTTTCCCCACCAAAATTCTTGCCCAGTAGTACTGGTGCAGTGCCATCCTCCTTGCAGGGAGAAGCACAAAGGTGACTTTACTGTTTGAGCAGCTTGGGGAAATAAAAACTTTTAGAAGTAGGGCCATAATGAATATGTTGCATGCACGTGTGCTCAGCTCCCAAGCTGCACAGCTCAGAGCTCTGGGGAAGTGGCATGGGCTGTTTAGGATTTTCAGCTTGCCTGCTCCTTCAGCAGACACTCCCACTGGTGCTGTAGTAGGTACCACAAGCAGGAAAGGAGGCAAGAAAAAAATGTGAATTTTTTTCAGAGTCCAAGCCCTCTGAGCCTGGGGTAAGGTGAGCAGCAAAAAGACTTTTATTGGGGAGATGGCAATGTACAGAAGGAGGACAAACCCGGTCACCCTCTGAGGATCTGAGATTCTTTTCCAGCTCTGATTCCCAGCCCCTGGGTAACCTATGAAAGTCACTGAATGTAGTTTTACCCCTGTGAGAATGCTGCTTTCTCTTTCTCCAAAAATAGCACCAAACCAGTGGGCAGGCACTATCCTGGCCCAACAAATCCCCAGCAGAACGAAGTGTCAGTTGTATAAAAGCCAAGTTTCTGGTACCCATTGCCTGACAGCAAGAGGAGGATAAAGGAGCCTGGCCACAAACATATATTTAGTAAAAAATAACTTCACAGTGTAAAACTTTAGTTTTGCCTAAAATGAACAGGACTTGTAATTGCAGCCACCACCACAGTCAGGAGGATCTTTGCAGAGTGAGTGAGGCTGGCAGAGCTGGGCCTCTGCTCTACACTGACACAGATGTTAATAACCATGAAATTACCCTTCCCATTAAAAAAAGGAAGCCAAACTGCATGACTCCTGAAGCTGCTTTTCTCCATCTCCACTCTATATTTTCTGCCATCCCATTAGGGCTGAGTTCCAAGCATTTGCACCATCCTTGTCTCTCAGCAACACAATTATCCTGGAATTTCTTTCTTTTAGAATAACTAAACAGTATTTTTTTTTCTGGTGCCAGAGAAAGCGGGTCAAGGAAGGAGACAGGTATATGAAACTACATTTCCAATACAATTGAGAAATTTAGAGCAAGTTTATAAGCAACCCACTGTTGACAGTTAAAGCACTTCTTGGGAAACCAAATCATACAGGCCAGCATTGTTAACAGTTGACCAATTATTGACCTTCCAAAATCAATCTTCCCACTTCTCATGCAAAGATGATAACTGTTTGTTAACAACATTTAATTCAGTGAAAATGATTTCAGCACATTCTGCTTTACTCCAGAGACCAGAAAATGGAAGATTTTCCCCTATTCCTTAGGCTTCATTAATAACAATCAACTGTACAGAGAAAATGAAGAGAGAAATTTTCTTTGCAGGCAAATAGCACAGAATTATATGGCTGTGACACCAGAACACTGGGCTAGTCACCCATCTCTGTGACTAACCCCAGACTACCGTCATCACACAGAACATGAGGGTGATTTTTCTTTTGCTATCTCAGGGCAGGAGGGTGCAGAGGCTTCAGCGACTCAGCCTAATTCTTTGAGACCTTTGTGATCCAAAGCCCCCAGGCAGGAACCCCCCCGTGGGAAGCGGCAGATGGCAAAGGGGGCCACGCTGTGCTGCTGGCAGTGTCCCCTGACAGCACACACACCCTGCACCCTGCCCCCTTCTCCAAAACAGCCCTGGCCACGCAGCGAGCGCTGACTGCGTGCTTCTTCTTCATCTCCTCCTCGTTCTTTCCCGGTCCTTCCAACCCACGGAAATTTCCTGAGGAATCCTTCCACTCGCTGCCTGCCGCTCCTCCCGGAGGGATGCGGCTGGCACACGGCATTTCCAGCGGCATTTCCAGCGGCATCGGGGGCAAAGTTGAGCACAAAGGAGCGCTGCTGCCCGGCCCCACGCACGGGCACCGGGCTGGGGGCAGCTCCGCCGGCTGCGACCCACGGCACAGCCCGGACCTGCTCCAGCCCTTCATTCCCAGCGCTGCCTCTGCTCCGGCGCTGCCTCCATCCCCCCCATCCCCCTGGAACACCGCATTTCCACGGCTGCTCCGGGAGCCGGCCCTCGCCTCTCCCCCACCATCAGCATCCTCTCCGCGCCCCGTTCTCCAGCACCGCCGCCACCCCGGCTTTGCCTGCGCTGCCGCGGCGGGGCCTGCAGCGCCCGGGGCCCTGGGCTCGGCCCCTTCCCGGTGCTGGGGATGCGGGGCGGGGGGAGGACAAGGGGGATTTGCGCTATTTTTTTCCCCGGCGCTGTGCGGCGGCTGCGGGCGGGCAGGCTGAGCGCCGCAGGTAGCTCGGAGCATTGTGGGATACATCCCATACATCCCGCACATCCCGGCCCGCACATCCCGCACATCCCGGCCCCTACATCCCGCACATCCCGGCCCGCACCTGCCCCGCTCCGCCCGCCCGCCCGGGGCTCCGCGGAGATGGGGCTCGGCGGCGGGCACAGCCCCGCAATGGAAGGATGGAAGGATGGAGGGAGGGAAAGAGGGGATGGAGCCGCGCAGCCCCTGCGCAGCCCCGCGCCCACCCCCGCCCGCTCACCTGCGCTCCGCGGGGGCGATGCCCGGCGCCGCGGGATGCTCCGCGGGGGATGCTCCGCGCCGCCCGCACAAAGAGCAGGAAATGGCTGCAGCAAGTGCACTTCCGCGGCTCTCCGCCGGCCCCTCCGCTCGGCGCGGCGGCGGGGGGAGCCCCGGCCCCCGCCGCGGGAAGGGGCTGGAGCGGAGCGGGCGGCTCCTCCCCCAGCGGCGCGGGGGATGCGCGCCGGGGCCGGGGCCGGCACCACGGCTCTGCCCACTCGGGGCCGGGGCCGGGGCCGGGGCTGGGTCCGCAGCTCTGCCCGCTGGGGCCGGGGCCGGGACCGGGATCGGGATCGGGACCGCAGCTCTGTCCGTTCGGAGCCGGGGCCGCTTTCTCCCGCTCGGGGCCGGGACCGCAGCTCTGCCCGCTCGGAGCCGGGGCCGCGTTCCCCCCGCTCGGGGAGCTCCGGGCTCCCGGCAGGGAGGGGAAAGCCGCCAGCACCCCCGGCGAACGGAGGGGAGGGAGCAGGGAGCGGCTGCAGCAGCCCCTCGGCAGCGTGGGGCTGGCACAGTGGGTTTGGGTCTGTAAGAAAGCAGGACCAGGCTGGGATTCTCCATCTCGGTGCTGCTGGGCTCGCTGGGTCGCGGGTGTTCAGCCCCTCTGCTCCTCAGGACCTTTGTTAGGCGTCACCTACCATCTTAACAAACGCCCTGGTGGCAGCATACATACACTTACAGAAAACATACAGAGCCTCGGATGCTGAGCACGTTGGGGATCAAAACCTGAAGGCAGCGCCTTTGCTCAGAGCTCCAGTCCTCTTCTGAGTCAGCGCCACATCCAAAAGGCCTTCCTTTTGGCATTTTAGCATCTGGCTTTTTTTCAGGGACAAGTTTCCAGTCCTTCTGCTCATACTTCTGCTTAAAGCTCTAATACAGTTCTTCAGATATACTGTGAAATCCAATCTCACAGCTTTCAGAGGGACACTGCCTCTTGGTGACTGATATAAAACCTGTATGGAGCTGTCTTGTTTGTTGAAAGACACTGGTGGATACCCAAGGATTGACCAAAGTCTAGATACGGGTCTAGATGTATTTCTATGGGTGGCCTGGCAGTGTCCCTTTCCTGAGCATGAGCCTAGAATCAGATTGCTATTTGGCCTTTCCTGGATTAGAGTGACCCCTCCAATTCCTCAGAGGCTGCTGCTGTTATCCATGAACCCGTGGGGCTGAGTTTGCTTCCTGGGGGTGTCTGTTGGCTCTGCAGGGAAGCGTGGACACCAGGTTTACACTGCAGATCTGCTGCTGTAATTTGAATGGACGCCCTGTGCTGAAGGCACTGGGGTCTGCACACTGGAAAAGCAGCAGAACAGTCTTTGGAATTAGTTTTGTTTTAAAGGACGGGACCACGCCTGAAAAAATATATCAGTAAATCCCTGAGCATAGAACCTTTCCTTGCATAGCGTTTCTTCTTTTGGGCTTGGACTAGATGACCTTTAAAGGTCGTTTCCAACCCAAACTATTCTATGAATCTGTGATATCTATGACTCTATCTCACCCTTGACTAGAACACATTGTAGTGTTTCATTCCTCTTTTTACTATTTAATACTTGTCAGAAAAATTCAGTGAGTGAGCATTGTTACTACAGACACAAAAGATTTAACAGCAAATATAATTCTGAGGTCGTGGGTGAAACAAGGTTAGTTCAAGAAAACTGGAACAAAAGATTGCTGTGGACTTTTTTTGTACAGTTTAATCTGGTCCTACTATCAGCCAGGCTCAGTGTGATGGGAATTCCATCACATCCAATGAATGTTATGATACTATTTTAGTTTTCTGCTCCATATTGCCTTAGCTGGTAGGAGGATAGAATGAGCTTCCCTGCATTTGTCCTGCAGATCTCTCTGCAGGCTGGGGACAGTGACAGTGAGGGGTGGCCCCATGCAGCTCTGGCAGCAGTCTGTGCATCAGTGTGTGGAGAGGAGAGAGAACACGATGGTGGGGTGAGCTGAACACAAGAAGAAACATGAATTTGTGGTGGCTGCCAAGTGAGCTTTAGCAGAGCCATTCACCTGAATCCTGCTGTGCTGACAAGCGTTCAGAGAGGGACAATGCCAAACATCACATAAAAACATGTTCATTTAAAAATACTTCAGGTAATTCTAGATTTTTCTTTCAGGCCTGATTTTAAGGTAATTGTGCACTGGAACAACACCCATGGGTCAGGGGGACTGACCCATGCCCAGAAGAGATCTTTTCATGGCTAATGCTGCCATGCTGCAGTCCCTGGTCTCCACTGAGAAGCATCAGCTGCTCTTTCTAGATGAGGTTACTGCTTGACTGCCTTCTGCTAGCAGGGGCTCCAGCCTGGCTCTGCCTGTGCCTGGCCATCTCAGCAGCAGCCTGGGGACACGCTGGGACACTGCTCTGCTTGGCTCCAGCCAAGTGTGCAGAGCTGTGCACCCACCTGGGATAACCAGCGGGGAAAAGGAGGGACAAGAACAAGCTCCCACCCTGGAGAGACACAGCCAGGCAAAGGGGCAGCAGCTTAAACGTTCAGCACGTTGGAAATGCTTTCTAGGGAGGGAGGGGAGGGGTGTTCAGAGAAAGGTAACTCACTTGGCAGTGAGAGACTGATATTCTCACCTCTGCTTTGTGGGGAATGGATCTGGTCAAGCCACATGAAGGGCACCCACCTAAACTTGTCTTAGATCATGCAGTTATCCCACTCTGGCACTGCCCTTTGGAGATTCCTGAAGTGCCCTATTAATTAAAGGGAAACACCCTCTGGGAGCACTCAGATATTACCACCCCCAATTTTATGAAGATTCAGAGAATTTAAAGCCACTGTAATGGATATTTAGACCTAAAAATCTGGTGTCTATGTAATAAATTACAATATTTGTAGAGATTCTGAATGCTTCCTACCCCCATAAATCCAGCACATTGTGTAACCCCAGAGCACAACCATAATTCTAGGGAACAGAGATATTTCAGAAAGCCAGAAGATGTTTGTTTGCATCTTGGTGGAGGGAATTTGGAGGAAGAGCAGACTGTATGATTATAGGTGCATGGTTTTTGCAGTTTTGCTCACATATAGTGAAAGTCACAGTTGGGACTCAGCAATTTTATTGTTTGTAAAAGTCCATATTGTGTGCATATAAAGACTACAAAATACAACTGAACATAAACAATCACAATAATAGTTTGTGCAACCCACTCTATCTAATAAATATTACACTTATCCGAATATAAATATAACCTCAGAAATGTCACTTAGCAGAGCAACATTGCTGCTCCTTAATAGCAATGTCCTCATGCTCAGCAGACCCCTGGTTCCTTCAGGGATGGTGGGGGCAGTGAGCCAGAAGCTGAACTCTGGGAGCCTGCTGACACCCCTGTCACAGTGTGGGGAGATGTATAAGGCAGGAACTGATGCCTTGCCCATATCCATGTGCCTGAAAATATATTCTGCCTCCTAAAAGCCATCCTAAAATGAGCCTGAAAAATACCAAAAATTAAGCCTCTTTCTATGAAGAAATAGTTTGACACAGGATATTGTGAGATCACGGGATTACATTATTTCCTTGTTCCATTTTTGTTGGCAAACATATTTGAACCTGACCTGTGTAATGACAGGAGGTTGCTGCTGAAAGTTTGCACTTCAGAGTTTTTGTAAGCTGCTGTCATGTAAGGTTTCCTCGTGTTCTCACCTGCCCAAACAGAGAAGCATCAAAAATACATATTGCATATCTGCACATATCATCTGTGAGCCCTCTTGACTTCCCTAAGTGATTGTTAATGCTTAGCAAAAAGTCCTGATCTTATTTACAAATTCTGCAGGACACCAACACCCACACATTTGGGTTGAAGTCAGTTATGTCAAAACAATGTCTCTGTCTTGCAGTGAAACTGCAGATTTTAACTGAAATACCAGGAGATGGATTTTGTTTATACCTTCTGCTGTCACCACATAATGTGGAACTCCTTGAGGAGGAAGAACCCAGGCACGTCATTCACACTGGGCTTTTTCTGTGGTCAGTGCCTTTGTTCACAGGGGAGATGAAGTCTTGTGGTGATTCTGCTACTTTTTAAAGTAAGAGAAAATTCTTCTTATGGTCACTGGTGCACTGAGACATACTCTGCATGTTTTCTCCTCCTGGCTCCCTCCTGAGCCTCTGGCTCCTTCCTGCCCAACACACCAGTTCAGGAGTAGATTCCTGTACCTTTCACAGGTAATCAGATTCTGGGACTGTCTTGTCCTGGACTGGGAACACAGAACACTCTGCACTGCTCAGTCCTCCATACTTTGTTCAAAGAAATTGGGTGGTCACATATTAATCTTTTGATATAGAAAGACTGAAGAAAAAATCAATATAAACATTCAGCTTTGACTTCCCCCTTTCAAGAATGTCTTCATTTGCATCAGAGTCCCATTTTCCCACTCATTGTACAATGCAATTTGTGAGAATTTCAAGACTCTTCATTACATAAATTTCTTTTCCTTTCTCACAAACTTGCATGCACACACAGACACCACTTCAGCTTACCAGGTATCCAAATCCTGTTCCTGTTATGCCACAGTTGCAGGGAAAATCATGCAAAGGGAAAACAAAACCACCTTGAAATACCAGCATCAGAAATGCAGTCACTAAATCCAGCCTGCTTCTGTGTCTCCCAGGCTTATTCCTGTTCAGAGCTTTCAGGTCCAGCCCACTCTGAATTGAGAGCCAGGGAAATGTCTAAACATTCCTCCTCAGTTAAAGAAAGCTTTTTTTTATCTCCCTCCAGGGAAGACCTTCATTTGGGAGCTCACAGAAATAGAACAGCAATGTCAGATCTCTTAATTTTGAGGCTGACTCTTCAGGAGAAACACCCTTGCTGGACTGTGGTTCAGGACTCCATGCTCAATAGTGACTTCGGGTTTTAAGATGCAAACCACACTCTTGGCCAAACCAAAGCTTGTGTCTACCTAGGCTCTGGAACACCTGGGGATATCTTGTCTGTCTAGAAGTACCAGCCTCTGCCCTCTCCTTCTCCCCAGGCATAGGGCAAGTGTTTATGGTGAGAGGATTCCTGTTAATGCTTTGTTGGGGAAAATCCAGCCTTCTCTCTTCTCAGGACGCTCTTGGCTGTGCTGAGCACACAGTGCCATGATTACACATCAAACTCAGAGATTTCACGCAGCTGAAACAGCAGAAGAGAAAAGGATGGCCGCTCATCTTTCCCCTGAGCAAGGGAGAGAAGAGAGAGGAAGAACATTAATGTCAGCTGGAGAGGAATGGCAAGGTTAGCAAGGAAAACCTTGGGAAGAAACTGAGTATTAACAAAAATACAATCTATCCCTATAGAGAAAATGCCAGTGGAAGAACCAACTTCCTTCTGTGCAATGTTTCTTTTCTATTATTAGTGAATTTGGCTTGGTGGACACTAAGTACCTTGTAATGGCTTGACTCGTTTTTACCACTGTTAGAACTCAGCCCCATAGACCCACAGCTTTCTTAGCAAGGGAACTGTGGAATTAACTTGAGTTAGGTGCACTACATGGGCTTCTCAATGGAGTCAAATAAAAGGCAGAGAGCCCAGAGTTTGCTTGCTAGTGCAGATGAAAGCTACAGTGCTTCATCTCCAGGATTTTATTTTGTGCTACCTTGTGAGTCCTCCTTAAAGCCAAGGGGAAGGGAATTCTTGTCTTTGGGAAATAAGGCTCTCCAGTACAATACTCACCATCCTCCAGCAGTGGCTCATCACCTCATAAATGGCCTTGGAGGCCAGCTTGGGTTTGTAGAGCCGAAATCCTGCGTTGATTTCTTCCACCACTTCTGCATTGGTGCGATTCTCGTAGGGGATTTTACCTTCACTGAAAACCTCCCACATCAGCACTCCTAAAGCAACCAAACGGGAAAAAAAATCACAATGAGGCAGAAAAAATCCTCAGCAGGCCCAAGGCCACCTTCCACCTGCTCTTCTCTGCAGCTCAACATTGGTGCCAGTTACTTGGAAAAGCATTTTCTCTTGGATTCTCAGTAGGCAGCTGAAAAACCAGGCCCTAACACAGCGTTACAGTGTGAGGATTCCAGCCAGGGTCTCTGGTGCTCTCTGAAGCATCTCCCTGTTGAGTCTGTGAAGGGCCTGAGCAGCCAGCTCCAGCTGTGCTGCTCACAGCCCACCCCAGGAGTGCACAGCTTCAGCCACAGCAGGAGCCAGCAAAGGGAGAGGGAAGGCACAGAATTCACAGGCACAGACTGGCAAAGGTTATAATCCTGCATTATTTACTGCTGGCCCCAGGGCTGAGTGGCACCCCATTGACTGTGAGCTGTGCACAGCACACTGCCCCATTCACTGTGTGGGCTGGAGAGGGGCCAGGACCGTGAGTGTGCCAGATCCACAGCCCAGGGGACAGCCTTTGTTATGGCTTTGGGGAAAAACACACAGCGGTGCTCTTATCTGGGAGGGTCCAGAAGGGAGACCAAAGAATGGGCACAAATCGTAAAACAATGCATTGTGGAGCAGGAAGTGAGGTGAGAAGTGTGAGCAGTGAAATAACATTTTCAGGTCAGCATAAAGCAAATGGAGTCAGCAGAGCAAATTTGGAAGGGCAGGGGATTTGAGTGAGGCATCAGTGCCCCGGGACTGACATGCAGAGAGATGGAGTGACTAAATGCCCCTCTCCTCTCCTCTCCTCTCCTCTCCTCTCCTCTCCTCTGGGTACCCCCAGCCCA